AGACAAGATAAAATAGGACGTCGGATTATTCGGCATGTGCATCTTTAAAGTTTTTTGACAATATACATATACGAGCGTTTGATAGGAATGAAACAAACGCAACGAAAGAGACCCCAAAAGTCCCGGCTATGTCCCGGCTATTTTGTATAGTGTAGTGTAGTATAGAGTTTCTTGTAGTTTTAGCATTCGTGTTAGTACTATTATTGGTCTTGGTCTTGGTGCTGGTACCTAGTCTGGCAGCGGTAAAGTATTCGTGTAGTATCAGCATAGTACTCGTATGGTATCGAGGAAAAGTCACAGCGTCCTTGCAAGGGCCTTGCTTTCGGATCGCGCTAACACAAAATATAATGAACATGAGCAATGCCAGCACTGCTAAGAACGCTATTGATATGAACAGTAAACATGGTGATATTGTTATGCGGATTCATTACTTTATACCGTTGCCTGGTGACTAAATGGTTTTCTCATTGTTCTTTGCTTGCACAAGCAAAACTACTTAGTTCCTATTGATTTAATGTACGGTTGCCCAGTGATTCAGTTCCTACGTATTGTGGGTCACAACGCTCCCTACACCATGTGCTTGTATAAAAATATGTACTTGGTTCTCGCAACACTCATTGATATCATATACAGTTTCCCAGTGATTTCTTGAGTTTTTCTACTATCCCTATGTGGCGTATGCCACAGCATTCCCTACACCATGTGCTCGTAAATTTACCTGGTTCCACACCACATACTGATTTAATATACGGTGGCCTAGTTATTTCATAGTCTTCTCACTGTTCCTATGTGGTGTCGGTCAACAAATGACCTACACCATGTGTTTGTGTGACGAAATTTACTTGGTTCCTACAACACTCATTGATGTCATAGAGAGCCCCCGAGTGATTTCTTGCTGTTATCACTATCGCTCTGCGGCGTGGGCCACAAAGTTCCCTGCACCACGTACTTCTAGAAAAATTATGAGTTTACTTGGTTTCTAAATCACTCATTGGTTTGCACGGTTGCCCGAAAGAGTCTCTAGAATACCAAAACCCAAAGTCTTCCAAAATAAGCCGAAAGGATCACCGGAAAAGCCCTGGAAGGCTTGTGCTAGAGTATTCCAGAATCGCTGAAGCGCGCAGCCGTAGAGTATCCTCGTAAAGTCCCTAGAGCGCACAAGACCAAACTATGCCCAAAGAGTCACTGGAGTACTAACCGCAAACCATCCTGCAGCTAAAATGCAGCTCAAGAAGTAAACCTTTCTTCATGTTTATAGGAATGGTCCCAATACTACTAATATCAGTAGCGTGATACTAGTATTATATTCAGCAATGTTCGGTATAGTAGGCGTATTAGCTTACTAGCATGATCAATAGCATAACTAAAAGTAAATGACAAGAAATTGCAATTCCAGTTACAACATTACCAAGCTTACTAGTGTCATAAATTGTATTAGGCTTGCTAGCACTCATGTTACTCGCATTAATCATATTACTAATTGATCTCATATTATAATCTTATCGGACTAATCATGCCACAGGGGCTAATGACGCTATGGTACTATTGTTCGTGACATTGTTGAGTTTCCCAGTGGTGGGCTAAAAAACATTGCTCACAACACTGATGTTGCACCCTCTTTAGACCTGCCCCCCTCCCCCTTTCTTGTTCCTGTTTACACTGTCCACGGGATATATATGAATTTATTAGAGAGGAGTTAGGATAAGTCTACAGGGCAGCGATGCCCAGCAATCCTTTAAAGGCGCGCCGCGTGGAATTTTCTTACGGCGCCCGGACGGTTTGCCTTTATTCAGGATCCCAACGCGCGCCCCCAAACCCAAACACTCGGAGTGTCCTGAACAGCCCGGCCATTTTTGACTTTGTTCAGGAGGCCCCTACTAAAGAGTGTGGAACATTAATAGTACTCGCACTAGTCATATGGCTAATCTCGACAGATAGTGCAGTTTCGTAGTAGACTTGTCAAAAGACATATGCACTACCAGCAAGATTAGGATGATTAGGATTGTCGTGATGTTAGTGTTAATTAGCAATCCTGCCAACGCACTGCAATGTTATTTGGTGATATTGAAGTCACGAACTGTCAAATTGGGAGCATAAGATGTGTCAAACTTATGCTTAGCACAAGTAATCCTCGACTTCGAATGTTCCGCACAACACGCCATGCTTTTTGCTTATATTGACAGCTCGCGCTAGGACTAGTACTTATATTGCGAACATTACCAATAGTACTCACATAAGTCATAATATGTTCATAATGTTAGTTGTGCTTCCAATGCTAGGAACACCAGTAAGCATACTATTGCCATCGCATCAGCATTATAAAGATCACAAACACTAATAAGTGAACAAGCCGCAGATGAAAACAAAGAAAGCTGCAGAAAACAAGTGCATTTAAGATATGCAACACCGGTGTGGAGGGTTGATCGTTTTGTTGCATCCAAACGGATAAATAAGTTAGATGTGCGACTTGTCTAAAACACAAGCATCAACAGTAATGGTATCCACAGACACAAGGCGAAGTTGACTCTCAAGTAGAACTTATGGTTCCTACAAAAGTATAAATATACACTTACATACTAAATTGTTTATATTCCGTATTTAAAGCGAAAAGAAAAACTCTATGCTAAATAAACCCTAAAGGTTCCGGGCTCATACAGGTATACAAGAGGATGGGAACACAAGAGGATGTGAACCCCCACAAGGTACCGTAATAGTTTAGAGGAACCTCCCACGAGGGCTCCAACCCTACATGTGGGGCTATCTCTGGCCTGGCAGTTTTGCTCGGAAGAACTATGAACCTTCGGAAAAAGTATGACATACTGGGAGAAGTTCTGAAGAATTCTGAACACAACGGAGGACTTGTGATGAATTGTGAAGAATCGGGTGGAAACATGAAGAATTATGCATATCAAAAACCAGTTCTAAACAAGAATGAGGAGTTATGAAGAAGCAGCCCCTAAAGCCTATAAAACATGGGCAGTTGCGAAGAATGTGTGCAACCTCACGCATAGGCCGCTGCCTTGGCAATCTCGTTGCGCTCGGAGCTTACCCGCTGGCGTACATTGAGTGTCTAGGGTTTGGGGTTTCAGTTGGGGTTTGGGTTTGGGTTTGTGGGTTTCGGGTATTGGGGGCTTAGTCGATTAGGGTTTAGGGTCGTGGGATTTTCGGATTAGGGTTTAGAGTCATGAAGTCGGACCTGGTGGAGTTCATTGTTTAGAGGTTGGCGACCTGTCTGACACGACCTTTGTCCCTGGCTTCTTGCCACACCTTCCTCTAAAGATCCTTGTCGGCTCGTCCATCAAGAGTGCATTCCTTGTATCGCCGGAAATTACGCAAAGCCGTAACCCAAAATCCAAAAGAAGGCCTGATGAAGCCCATAAAACCCCCAAACCCTTTGAATATCTTCGAACCCTATCACAATCCCGAACCCCAATTAAACCCTAAACCCTATGAACATGGATGTAATCTACCGGTTCGATCAATACCGATAGGTTACCGATTACTACTCGATAAAGTATTGGTAGTATTGATGGTCACGGTTCGGTTCGATACTCGATTACTAACGGTATGTGATCGATAGAGACGTGCTCCACCACCAGGCCATACCCTCTCTCCACAATTGCGAACCCTAACCCAAAAAAACCCTTAAACAACAGGCCTGTGGGATTTGGGTTTGGGATCAGAGTTTGGTTGTTGGTTTTTTTTGGGTTTGAAGGTTTGACGGAGTTTGGTTTGGGTGTGGTAGTTGGGGGTGTGGTAGTAGGTGGTCGTGGGGTGGCAGTAGGGTGGTAGTCGGGTCGTCGAGTTAGTGGCTGCCACTAATTCGTGTCGCGGTTTTAGGTCAAAAAACTCCTATGAGAGCCAAAAGCCACTAACTCGTTTTACGGTCGTGTTCGGGGGGTGCCTTTGGGGAGCTCTCAGAGGAGTTTCTTGACCTAAAACCGCGACACGAATTAGTGGCAGCCACTAACTCGTTTTACGGTCGTTTTGGGGGTGCGTTTGGGGAGCACTCAAAAGAGGCTTTGGACCTAGACCCGCGAAACGAGTTAGTGGCAGACACTGAGTCGTTTCGCGGTCGTTTTGGGGGGGTGCCATCGGGGAGCTCTTCAGGGCAATGTCTACATGTTTTTTGGGGCGAAAAGTATTGTTGACACACCTCGCTCCCCTGTGCTTCTTGGAAAGCCTACGGCCTAATGGATAAGCACTCGATGTTGATGGCGATGTGTCTCGATACTGGTCTGCTTCGATTCGGTTCGATATCGATTAGCGATACGTGAGGTATCGGTATCGATACGGATTCGATATCGATAAAAGTATTGTTGAAACATCCATGATAAACCCTACGTTGAAGCCTGACCTTCGAGGTGTTGGTGAGTGTGTTTCTCTCAGGAAGCAGCTCGGAATTACCGCCCAGCCAGAGGCCGTTTCACATGTGCAGGGCTCGGGACTTGGGGCTCGGGGTTTAGGGGTCATGACGATGAGATGTGCTTAGGTTCGGGTCCAGGGGGTGAGATGCATGGGAGTCGAAACCCTGGCTCTGAGCTCCACCGCTGCAGCATGCGAACACAAGATTATGCGACTTAGTAAGAAGAGCGTTGTCAGATGTACAGCTTAGTGTTTTCCTAAACCCTGAACCCTAAAACCCTGAAGCTCTGATCAGTCTCCTTCATGCACGCCTTCTTCTTCCTGGGTTATTTGCAGGCCTTGCGCGCGAGGAATGGTTGTGATTCACTGAGCTCGCAACTCGCGAAATGTCGGCTTAATTAGACCTACGCAAAGAGTGTCCACTCAGTCTGAGAACCTGAAAAAGCCTAAACCCCCCATGCAGCTCCGTAGACTTGCCTGTAACCTCGTGCGTCTTGGGGCTTGTAGAGTATAGCCTACACCCTAGAAAATGTAACTCTTGCAACGAAAGCAACAAGGCAACCTGGAACCCTAAGCCATAAACCCTAAACCCCCCGAATGTTGCACCCGGCCGCTTAGCGCTCCATGTCCGGCCCATGCACTCTGGCGATGTGCCGCTGAGACTTCTTTCGCTCCTGGCATTGTTCCTGCCACTGCCGGGCACCTTGGCGGCTTCTGGGGTGCCAGGGTTTAGGGTTTAGGGTTTAGGATTTAGGATTTAGGGTTTAGGGTTTAGGGTTTTGGATTGGGAGTAGAGGGCCCGAAGGCTCAAGGGAGTAGGGACCTTGGTTTAGGGGAAGCTGGGCGAAGGGTGAGAAACGGTCACGTTACATGTGCAGATCCGGAGCACAATCCTGCAAGCGCACTCGACGTACTGTAGCCCTGGCTAGTGGCAGATATAGTTGGTGTTGGGATTGATTGTGGGCACCGGGGTAGATCTCGCAAGCCTTCTCAAAACCCTAAACCCTAAACCCTAAACCCTAAACCCTAAACCCTAAAGAGCATGAGAGGTTTTGCATGGCGCACAGAAGCCGGCCTCAGGGTCCAGTCTTGGCAGGGACAGTTTCCCCTTCGTAGCTCTGCAAGTGAACTTGGGATGCTTTGTGACCCTAAGCCCTAAACCCAAAACCCTAAGCCCAAAACCCTAAACCCTAAACCCCTAAACCCCCTAAACCCCTAAACCCCTAAACCCTAAACCCCTAAACCCCTAAACCCCTAAACCCCAAACTCACTGTGCATCCCCTGAGCCCAACTACCAGGAGTCCCTGAAGCATCCATGGCAGGATCCTTGGCTTCGGAGCCCGACTCCGCCTACTTCCTCGGCGCCAGCGAGGCCAATGATTCCAAGAGGAGCTCAGGGGGAAGGGGGGGGGGTTTAGGGTTTAGGGGTTTAGGAGTTTAGGGTTTAGGGTGTAGGGTGGCCTGGAACCCTGAACATCCCTTAGAACCGTTGAAACGGTAAAAACACCCCAAAAAACCCTAACCACCCCCACCCCCCCCCCCCCCCGAGGTACATTGGAAGAATCATCCCTTGAGCTTTTACTTATATACTGAGGCTTGAGGTCGGGTGGGTTCGGAGATTTCTGCGGTTTAGGGCTTAGGGCTTAGGGCTTAGGGCTTAGGCCTTAGGGCTTAGGGCTTAGGGCTTAGGGTTTAGCATGGAGGATCTCGGAGAAGGGAGAGGTCGACGAATTTCTGTCCAAGCCTCTCGTCTTGCATGCGTGGTCGGCCATGGCTTGGCTTCCCCAACTGAAGACCTTCAAGGGTTTCGGGTTTAGAGTTTAGGGTTTAGGGTTCAGGAATCTTGGGCCCTTTGACAGCCCCTCCAAGAAGGCCTCAGGGGGTTGGCTTTTGGCTTTTACGTAGGGCTCAACCGAAATTTCTCTTTGTGGCTTAGGCCCGTAGCCCCCAAAAGTCCTAAACATGTCCTAAGCCCCAGAAGGTCTCTAAACTTTCTCAAGTCTTTGAATATGAGGTGCATTGGCTTATGGCCTTAGGTTTCGAAGCCTATGTGGTTCAGGTTGAAGTATGGCCTCTTTTGGACCGCTGAGGTTCCTGTCGCCTGACTCAAGCATGAGCACCATGCTGGCAGAACCTCGACTGCAAGGCCTCCTCTTATTCACGTGAGAGGCTCGAAAATGCTGAGTAGGGAGCCTTTTAACCCAGTAGTCCACGACAACACGCTGAAAACGAAACCCTCAACCGTACGCCCTCAACTTCGCAGTAGGCAGGGTCGGCAGTAGAAAGTATTCAAGTTCGTTGATCATCGGCCAAAGGACTTCCTTCCAGAATTGAGGTTTGGGGTTTAGGGTTCAGCGTGTGCCCGGTTGGGATTCCCCATCGAGTGCAGGACAAGCGGCTTGATTTTCAGCGGAGTAAATGTGACTGTTCCTGTTGCTTCCAGCCGTTGCCATATCCTGAAACCCTAAACCCTAAAGTAGGGGGCATGCAAGGGGGTTGCATGGGGGTTGAAGGAACAGCTTCAAGAGCATCGTGCCACTACAATCCTCTGGGTTTAGAGTGTAGAGGGATCTTGGGGTTATTCGGCCTTAGGGGGCCATGGCCAGGTGTATCGCCCCTGGTCAGTCTACAGCAACTGGGCTCGCAACATGTGGATTCGAAGTCTTGGCGCCCCAAAATCCTCGAAAGCCCGAGATTCAGTCGACACCGAAACGCTTGAACGCTTGAACCCTGAACACTTGTGGTCTCAAGACCCCCCTCCTCATTTCAGGTTTAGGGTTTAGAGTTTGAGGTTTAAGGTTTAGGGTTTAGGGTTTAGGGTTTGGCATGGTTGCTTATATGGCATGCTGAGCACTCTGAACCTTGGAAACCAAAGGATAACCTCTTAAGACCTAAAGAGAACTCGGCCCCCAAGCGCCTGCCAAGAACAAAGCCACCTGACCGTGGCACGTGCACTGCACACGTGGCTGCGGCCTACTGCTCCGACTATTGCAGTGGCCTTCCTCAAGTGGTAGGGTTTAGGGTTTGGGGTTTGGGGTTTCTCTGGCCCGTCGACCCTTGTTGCGTGGATACCCAAGCCTCCACATAATGACATAACCCGTTATCATGCTTTATGTACCCTCCATTTTCGGCCTGGGTAGGCCCTGAGTCCAGGAAGATGGAAGCTTAATTGGGGTATGAGGGTTGGAAGGCATGCATTGCTTGCAAGCAGCTCGTGGGGGGAGGGGCTGGGGGGGGGGGGGGTGCGGGGCGCGGGGTTACGCGTGGGTCCGCCAGTCCCACCCAAAGAGCAAGCCATTTCTCATCGCATCTCCGCTTGGGAAGGAGGCAACAATGGGTTAGTTTTGAGGCTGTTGGGTTCGTATGGGCTACAACTTCAAAGGACGCTGGGAGGGTGGGGACTGCAAGGGTGCAGGTAATCTCTGGTATTGGGGCATAGGGTTCATAGAGTAGCTCGCGAGGTTTACGAGTGCCACAACTGGGAGCCTGACAACGCCCTCTTGCGTGAATGGCTACGCCGCAACGTGCCCTCTCGCGACCATCGTCAGCTCTTCCTAGGCACCGAGCTAACTTCCAGCAGGATGATTGTTAAAAACCTCACGAAGCTTGAGGAGAGTTTGTACACGTTTTGTACCGTCTGAGGTTTCCTGTATGGGGGGACAGGCATATTGATATTGTTGCGCGTAGGCTTGCTTGGATTTCGGACACTGGAAGGTCAAGCTTGTTATCCTAACCCAAGAACCTGAACCCTTACAGGTTTCAGGGCTTGGGGCTTGCGTGCTGTAGGGCTCAAGCTGCAAGGCGCGAAAAAGACGCATGATACCACGTCCATTTGAGACGATTTGTTTAGAGTGCCGATGTTTTCGCCACAGCTTTCTGCTTAGGCCTTGTGTAGGTCCCACATCTCATTAACTCAAAGTATCCAATAGCCTTCCACACTTGAAGCCCCTTAGAATGCTTCGAGCGCGTGCCACAGGTACCAGACATCTGGCCTGGCAAGTACATGTCGCTGATGCTTCGCGTGCAGGGCGGCCGGGTGGTTCGAGGCTCCACGCACGCCGCACAAGCGACGAAGTGCCCACACTGCTTGCTGAGGAGCAGCCTGGGTCCTTGGGTTGAAGCCCTGAACTCCCCTAAACTCCCCAAACTGCCTAAACCCCCTAAACACCCTAAACTCCCCAAACCCTAAGGCCCCATAATATGCATGCCTAGAACCCTGCCTGCACCGCACTAGATTTCACATCGGGAGGTGCAGCATGCCATGTTCTGCATCTAGGTCGCCATCAGTCTAAGGCAGTCTGGGGGGTGCTTTTTTGCTCGGACCTTTGGATATTTTGTACGTACCCCTGCTTGGGCTCAAGAGTGTTCAGAAGGGCAAGCCGAGTTTAAGACTCTACTTTGCAGTTGCGTGTAGCTTTGCCAATCTAGGGGTTTGACTGTAGGGGCTGAGGCTTTATATGGCGTAGGGCCAAAAAACTCCGTAGGGTTTATGGGGTCGAGAGCCAAACTTCTCCGGACGGAGGACGCTGTACGGGGAGGGTGAGCACAACCTACCGAAGTCCGACGACGCCAGCTGCGCGCCTGCGTGCCTCAGCATGACCTGGCCGGCATATCTCTATCTGTCTATCTATCTATCTATCTATCTATCTATCTATACATATATTGTTTTCGTTTATTTATCCATTTATATGTATGTATGTATGTATGTATGTATGTATGTATGTATGTATGTATGTATGTATGTATGTATGTATGTATATGCACATTGTAAGATGGTATATGTGAATACGATGTAACGTAGCACTCATGTACAATTTCATGCTTCCAAGAATGTAAATATCCATATGTATGTGTATATATATATATGTACATATGTACCAATATATAAATATAAATATAAATATATATATATATATATATATATATATTTATATGCATAGATATACAATGCCCTATACCACTTTATCACACGAAACCACTGAGAGTTCTGGGCTCAGCGGCTTCGGCTCTCCAGAGCCAGGTTCAGCTAGGTTCAAGCCCCATCAACCCACCAGCTGAACCCCTTCATCTATTTCAAGCTGGTTCGGGTTTAGGGTTTAGGGTTTAGGGTTTAGGGTTTGGGGTTTCGGGTTTAGGGTTTAGGGTTTAGGGTTTAGGGTTTAGGGTTAATGCGCAACTTCCGGTTCGGCGGTTTCTTCAACTGATCTCGTGGTTACGATTCTTGTTCGCGGAGACGGGTTCCAATTGGAGCGTTGAAGATCGGGAGTCCTGATGAAGAACGGCCCTGAACCCTACACCCTAAACCCCAGTAGGGAATGAGGGAATTTAGGGCTCTATATATGTATGTATATATATATATACATACCCTTGAAGGGATTATATAGGGTACCTCATTCCCTCATTCCCTACTAAGAACCAGCCAGTAAACCCCAAATCCTAGGAGCTATCTCCACGACGGTGTGTCGTGGACTGGGGACTGGAGCTGTTCCAGTGTCACTGAGCTTTAGGTAGTTCCTCGATATGACCTCTGGCTTAGGGTCCTTGCTGTGGGAGTTCTCGTAATGAGGATTAATTTACGGATATTGGCGGATACATTGGGGTACCCCTGTGTCGGGAAATGCCCACATGTACATACTGCTTCTCGAAAGATTAGCCTGACCTTGCGGTCGCCGACTTGTGTAATCAGAGCATTGACGTATGAGATGTCCTGCAAGTGCTTTTCTTGCATACTGCCGGCTTCCGCGGCCTTGGACAAAAAGCTGTGAGCCGAAGTTAGTGGCACTTGGTGCGGTTCGAGAGGCAACAGGCTTCCCTAGGGTCATTTCAGGGTCGCCAGCGTGGCCAGCCCCCACCTTCATCCCTTTCCCTCACACAACATGACAAGCCCCAAATCGCGAGGCCGAAGCTAATTTTAGATTGCAGGTCTGTGTCTTTGTCCCTGTCTCTGTCCCTGTTGCGGTTGCTGTTGCTCTTGGTCTTGGTCTTGGTCTTACGGTGGGCTTGTTGGGAGAGGGGTGGGGGAGGAAGGTGTTTCCCCCCAAGTAAAGGCAGCACACCACCGAACACCTATCCCGGGGAGGTGAATGATCGCCCGGTGGAGCAGCCCGGGCCTCGGTCTACCTCGGACAGGGGGCTTAGGGTTTTGGGTTTAGGGTTTAGGGTTTAGGGTTTAGGGGGGATGCCTTAGTCAAGATTCCTGGGCCCTGAGCCTGGTAAAGGCATGTAGGGCTTGTAGCGTGTTGGGTGTAGGGTCCAGGGATATTTGGGGTTCAGGGGAGAGTCTACCGCGCCAAAGGTTTTCGGCTCACTTTCTTATGTCCACTTGACAGAGATGGAGTTAGGGTTCTGAGCATGGGGTTGAGGTCGTTTCCCGACCCCTAAACCCCAACACTTCAGCCTTTGACAAGCGGCCCTGTATGGATACTTTGTCTAGGTCCAATAGAGTCCGGACGTGGTAGCCATGATCAGCTGTATCGAAGTTGTAGGCCGCCACTTTGCGACTACAAAGGGCTTAGGGTTTAGGGCATGGGGTGATGGATGCATGGACACACCTCAAAGGCAACAGTCCCACCTGACGAAAAGTCTCTTGCTCGCAGCTTTTGCAGGCCAATGCTGCCTGTCAACTAAAAAACTCGGTGCTCTGAAACTCTGCCCCCAGAAGTTGTGCCGAGGATCCATGAAGACAACAGCATCTGCGTCAAGTTTGCCATCAACTCGGCCTTGGGTGTTCCGTAGTGTTCCGTCCTCGCCCCTTAGCATCCTGATTCCTATCAAGGTCAGTGTCGTTCCCACCTTGCCTCTGCTGAAGCCATTGCATCGACGCATATCTAGATATGTGCCTATTGACTGAGCTGTGTTCAATGCTTCCTTTTGGGAGGCTTTGGAAAAGGGTTGCGCGATCTGGGGTTTACAACATGGAGTGCTTGCGGACCACTCTGCGTGCTACAGTGTGGAAAAGACACAGGAAACCATTGTGTTTGCAATAAAGTCTTATCCTAAATCGGTTCTTAGCCCACACCCGGGGTACCATGGACTGGACTACATTATTCTTTGCTATACAGCTTTACAAAGCTTGTCCTTCACAAAGTTTCAATGTACTGTGCTAAAGTGTTAAACTATACCAGGAACCTTTCCTGTCTGCAACTCGCCACTCTCACGACCTTATGGCAAGCCGACTGTCGACCTGAAATCTTTCAGTGGGACCCCGTTTGACCCTAAACTCCCCCCTTATACTACCAGTCCTTCATAGGGATTATAGTACCGTTATGAGAATCCCTATTCAGGACTTTTCGTATAAGGGGGAACATCCCAACCCTAAACCCTAACGCGGAAGCTGAATCGGCTTAGGTCATCTTGGGCACAGATGGCCTGTGGATGTTTCTCAAGGACCAGGCTGCGAGGAGGGCTGGTTCCTGGGGAGGGGAATTCTGCTTGCAGCCAGTTCTTTGACAAGCTGCGGAGGGGTAGGGCTACAACAAGAGCATGCGTCAGAAGAAATTTTGTGAACTCAGCACTCTTCTATGGCTTTTTTGACCTCCTCAAGTCCGATCTAAGGTGCTTTAGTATTTAGAGTGCGTTTCCGCTTTGTTTTCTTAGGAAGAAGAACGACTGCAGTTGCTATTGCTAAAGTCTTGTTTTATGTTCATGTTATTGGCGTTGTGAGGAGTCGGAGAATTACGGTTATTGTTGGAGTTGTACAATTCCGGCGCAAAGCCCAACACGTTGCCAATACGAGACAGAGCGACATCAATACGTAGAGCAAGCCTGCACAGTAACCGGGCAACTACGCTTGAGGGTGACTTCCCCCTGGTCTACAAAAAATTGCCACACCACCTGGCGGTTGTTCCGATGTGTGGGCTGCGATCAGGGCCAAAGGGGGACCTTGTGGTCTCTCTAAAGTCTAGTCTTGTTTTGGATTCCTGTTCTAATGCGGAGGCCTATATCTAGGGCATCCAAAAAGCGAAGTGCCCAGCTGTTGAATGACTATGCAATTTTGGGTGGCTTCATTGATGCTTATAAAGGGAGTGTTCATGTGGTTTTCTTCCTTTTTTTGGTGCGTGTGTCCTTCTAAACTCCTTCAAGCAAGAAAGCGTCCCTGACATGCTAAACCTAAACCCTAAACCCTACACCCTAAAACCTTACCCCTGAACCCTAAACCCTAAACCCTAAACCTCAAAATCCCTCCCATTCCTCTGCAAGCCAGGTGGCCACCGATCGAATCAAAGTAGCTGGCAAGTCCAATGACGGGGCCCTGGACATCATCCCGTTGCCCTAAACCCTAAGCCTAAACCCTAAACCCTAAACCCTAAACCCTAAACCCTAAACAGTCCCCTTGATGCTCAGGGTAGTAAGGTCTCAGGCAATTTTGGTGCTTTAGGGGCTAAGGCTAAGGGTTCAGGGGATTTAGGGGCTTAGGGGTTTAGGGTTGTCCTGTCCTTCTCTTTGCAGATCAGTTTGAGGCCGTCTTGAAGTCGTCATCCGCAGCCATTGCTTGGCTTCATGTGATCACTGAGAGTCCGGGGCATGTTGGCCAGTGTCGGGGGCATGTCTGCTGGAATGGGTACAGAGCAGCAGCCCACACCTTACGCAAATGGTGAGTTCTCTAGATTAGGACCCGTGTTGAACCCGAAGAAAGGATCGTCATTTGAAACGTCGCCAGCCAGCTGCATCAGAAATCTGGAGCCTTCCAAATCTAGGTTAGCATGACCCCATGCTGATAGGCTCCAATTCCTGTGGTTCAGTGAACTTTCATGCTGGGTCACAACTCCATCGCTTCACAAGGTCCAGTATGCTGCAACTGCACTTGTCCACCAGTCGCGTGACGGTTGGGATGCGCAGCCGGCTTAGTCCGCCACAGCTCACTGTGTCACTGTAGTTGGGAGCAGATCCTTTATGGTTCAGTCAACGACGGGCCTAGGGACCAATACTTAGTGTCGGTTGATGTCCGTAGGGCAAGTAGCATCTGTCTTCTTGTGGTCTTGTTGTCGCTTTCTTGTGGGAGTATGCAGTGCAGGCGCTGGTGAAACATAGCTTTCCACTGAGGTCGGAGGTCGTCTGCATCGTCCGTTGTTCCGTGATTTTCGCTTCCGCAGATTTCTAAACTACACGCGGGGGAGGTGCCAACTCCACTGAATTAGGGGCTGCAATGCTTTTCGGAGGCCTTAGCTAGGTGCGTGCTAAGAGGAAACTTCGTTAGGCGTTCTCAGCTCCAACAACAAGAAAAGAGCAAGGACCCTCCAAAAGAATGTTAACGCAAACGTGACCTAGAAATCCCTGAATCTCGGATATCCAGAGGCTCGTTTCCGTTAAGCTGTGTCTTTAACCGCATGATTTCTTCACGCAGCGCCGGCAGTCTAGCTTTTGCCTTGTCAGCCGCTTTTCCTGAGGATCCACAAACAGATGTGGTGCAGGATCTTTGAGGTCTGCGTGGCTTCAGGCTTTACCCTCCGCATGTTCTTAGCTCTTTATAGGCATCGAAACCTCACAGCACAACCCAAAGCCCTTCCCTTTCAACAGTTGAAGCAGAAGGAGACTGGCATGTGCAAGGGTCTCTCATGACTGAGGATGCAGGAGCAGCTGTGCGACTTCATCGATGACATAACGCGTGCCGGCGAGTTGCTTGCGGTTCACTTCAAGGGCGAGTCTCTCAGTGCGCCCCTCTGCCACCGATAAACTCGTCGAGCTCATTTCATTCCCTGAGTTTGTTTGAATCAGCAAAGCTGTAGGTGTCCGGTTCAGGCTGTCAGCTAAGGGACAATATCGATACGTGAACCCAGCAGTGTCGACGTAGCATGCTTAGCAGAGCATGCCAGCGGGAATCTCAGAGTCGGACATATTCCTACAACTCCGGAACGACACCCTTCCTACATTCCGGAATTTAACCTAAAGCATGTGCATGTAGCAATTAGGGGTCCAAGTTAGTCGCATCTGTGCGTCCTCCCACTTTTCGGTCTTGTGTTTGTGCAGCAGCATGGACATTGCCCGTTTGCTTAGGGCCTTAGGGTGTACGGCTTCAGAAGAAGAGGCTGCAGGATGATGTTGGATGGTCTGGGCTCGGGCTGTTGAGCTTCACGATCGGGCTCAATCTCCTTCCGTGGCGGGGTTTGACAGGGTTAGGGGTTTAGGGTTTAGGGGTTAGGGTTTAGGGTTTAGGGTTAGGGTTGTTCAGGGAGTACTCCGACCTGGATCCTCAAGCATGGGGTCCTTGCCAGGGCGGCTGTCTTCTGGCTGTGAAGCCATGTTGCTCCGACTCGTTTCACCCAGAGATGCGAGGATTGGTTTGCAACTTCAGAGTCGGATCCCATAGGGTTTAGAGTTTACAGTTTAGGGTTTAGAGTTTAGGGTTTGGTGCCCTAAACAAGGAGACTGCATCGAGGGCAGTGGAACTGGTGCCCAAGGGCAGAAGCTGTGGACCGTGATCCTCTCCTCGTCCGCCGCCCTTTCCTGTACATAGGCGGCGCTGGCGGGTGAATGTTAGGAACGATATCGAAGTTTGAAAGCATGCTGCGAGCAGCTTTCGAGCGGTGCCGACGTGCAACTGGGTTCTGCACCCCTACACGCCAAGCCCGATGTCCTCTTTGGTCGCCTTCTGCTGACGCGGCGCAGCAGAAAAGGCACTGCTGCGTTCCAGGGAAACTGACTCCATAGGTAAGGCCACCCTCATTCAGGGCCGTGATATATAGGGTTTAGGATTATATAGCGATTTAGGATTTAGGGTTTAGGCTTTTGGTTTTAGGGCTTAGGCCTTTAGGGTTTAGGATTCAGGGTTTTGGGTTTACGGGCATCTCCCAGGCCGAGTCCATGTAAGGCACCATTGGATAGTAAAAAGGTACAAGGCTCTGGAGGAGTAATTTGCCGGCTTGGGTTTCGAGTTGGGGGTGTAGGATTCTGGGCTTCTCATAATCGATTCCCACAGGAAAAAGGCCGTAGAAGGCATAAATGGTTCGGCCAGTGAAGCTTTGAGGTAGAGTCAGGCAATTTGATGGACTGCTTGCTTAGCAAAACCCACATCTTCAAGGCTGTAGAAGGAATTTCGTGGCGAAGGCGGGTGAAGGGTTGATGTTGACCCCCGTGCGTAAAGCAACAGCCAGCCCCCTAAGGAGCCCATCATCATAAATAGCTGCTTCGAAGGAACTTGTTTGTTGGCTCTTGAAGCTGCCAGTGAAGGAACATCCTAGCAATCCGTTTTTGTGTCCTAGACTTGTGTTCTGAAAGAAGTGCTCTTTGGTCTCACAAACCCCGCGCGCACTGCTGCCATATACAGTTTGATTTTGTGGAGATGTTTAACCTGAATAGCTCATTTTGGGTACCCTCGCAGGGCGCCTGCTGCCATGGAGGCGAAAATGCTGCGTGTGCCGCTCTTGCGAGAAGGTTCGGGCACTGCTGTGTACTTGCAAAGGCATCAGTTTCTATCAGCAGCCAGGCATGAGACATCTTGAGCTCCTACGGAGGTACTGAATTATCTCCACGTCTCAGGCCAGTCTAACTCTCAACCCAAATTCCCGGGCTTGCCCGCACTTTCTACTGCCATGGCCTTCGAGCCATGGCCTTCGAGCCATGATTGCGTCCATGTTGCCAGCGCATGCAGTGACCAGAGCATCCATACCCGAACAACCATGATTGCTTGCTGTGTTGTCTTGTAGATGAACTTAGTCCTGCCGGGGTGACAAGCAAAAGAAGGCGCAGAAATATGGCGTTTTTTCGAGCAGACTCTCCGACCTCCACTTCCTAGGACCACCCTCTTGCTTCAAGAGATCCTGCTTCAGAATTTTGCGATTGCCGAAGCGTGAAACATCGAGTTTTCGGGCTTTTCCCTGTCGGGCAAAAACTTCCCCGGCTAGAAAGCAAATGCACTCGCCACCCTAAACCCGAAGCCCGAAACCCTAAACCCTAAACTCAAAGGGGGCGCTGGCACCAAGCCTCTTCTGGTGGCACACCGGGGTGGGGCTGGCGAGGCCCCTGAGATGCCCGGCCACTTCATGGGAGGGCGTTTTAGGGTTTAGGGTTTAGGGTTTAGGGATTAGGGTTTGCCTAAACACGCAAAATATGGAAACAAATGGCACTTTTAATGGGTTTTGGGCTGCTGTCCGACATACACTTTGGTCGGATTTAGGGTATCTCTGTTTGTGCTTTTTTAGGGTTTAGGGTTGATAGGGTCTATAGGGCTGCAACGTTAAGGCTTCTGGGTTTTCGGGGGGGGGGGGGGGGGGGGGGCCATTACGTTCACGGCAGTTCATGAAAATGGGCGCAGCCCAGGAACACCCTGGAGAGTTTGAAGTACTGCATGGACCAAAAGGTGCCCTTGGTCCAGCATCTTGGCTCTAGATTGGGATTGAGTTCACGCCCCCTGAGACCCTACACACCCTAAACCCCTAAGCCCTACTTAGCCCTAAACGCTGACTTGGAGAACTACGGGCCCTTGCGGCATGCGAGCGACAGAGACAGGGCATCCTCATACAAAGTCTTCAATTGCAGATTAGACACCGCTGTAGTAGCAAGACTTGTAGCAGTGAACGTCGTGGCAGTGGTACTCGTATGTGGAGGTAGCTAGGGCAAGTGGGTGATGATAGCATGCCTGTCAACAGGGATAGCATGAATATCATCAGACATAGCATTCGTACGGCGTTGCAAAGGCGTTTCAAAGGCGTTGCAGGGGCAGTAGCAGCAATAGCACTTGCAATTCTGAGAAGCTTAGCGTCTATCCCATGAAGCTCCCGTCACGGTGCATTCACCACATTCGCCTTTAGGGGCTTAGGGCACCCTAAATCCTAAACCCTAAACCCTTAGGGCTTGCCAGGATGGACGTGATGCAGACGAAAGATGGGCAGCTCGTTCTGTTTCATGACCTGCCTCTTGAGAAGAACTTGGAGAAACTGACCGGCCCGAGGCTCAGAAGCACAAGAAGAGTCCCAGCGGGTGGCCTTTAGGGTTTAGGGCGTTTAGGGTTTAGGGTTAGAGAACCTACAGCTGCGCAGGCGGTTGTCCAAGAAGTCTCGTCCTTCCCATGTCGTGCTTTGCTTGGTTTGTTATTTCGCACAAGTATGGGGCAGAAAAGCTCCAAGAGTAAGAAGCATCACTGCGCAAAAGTCGCTATCATCTTCTCATTTCTGATGCTTGCAAGCAGACCAGCGGCTTTCCCCGGCCCAGGTGTCGCCGGTGATATTTCCAACTACGACTACGACGCGCTTCCGGACCCGCTGAAAAGAGTTCGGGCACTTCTCTCCGAGTGGGAAGCTCACCCTAAACCCTAAAAAAGACTCCGGCCATCTATCCGCCGTAACCTCTGCCCGAAGCGCCTGGCAACAAAGAGAGCAAATTTGGGGTAGAGCGGTGACCCGGTTGAGGGTTTAGGGTTCAGGGTTTAGGGCCTTGGTCCGGTGAAAATGGCATGCATGAAGGCTGTCCTGTGGATCCCTACTGATAGGGTTGGGTTTAGGGTTTAGGGTTTAGGGTTTAGGGTTCAGGGTTCAGGGTTCAGGGTTTAGGGTTTAGGGTTTGGGTTTAGCGTTTAGGGTTCAGGGGTTAGGGTTTAAAAGCCTATCCAACATGTATGTTCTCATCAGTGAACAGGACTTCAAGACGGAGTTCGAAGCCTCACCCTTCTTCCCTCCTGGTAGCAAGCCAGTGCCTGTGGGGCAGAGGCGGGACATAGTCAGTTGGAACGCACATGGGGGTTTACGAAAATAGGAGATCCCCTTATTAAAAAGGGACCCCAAGAAGGTACCCATGTAAAAGGATCAGGGAGGTGGTCTTTCAAATCAGGAGCCGGCGACACCCAAGTCTAGAATTTTCCACGGGCAGCAGTGGCAGGTGTCCAGGAGGTCAGACTCAAGGCTGAGGCACTTCAGAAAGACGCTAGAATGCAAGACGACACGAGCCATCATCAGAACCTTGTCAATCCACGTAGGAAGTAGACCCACGCAGCTCCCCGTCGGGTTCAGTACCTATCCCACAAGCCGGCACAAGCCTAGGCTCTCAGATCTTTTATTTATTCGGCAGCTCTCTAGATTGTATAGTCCCTTTGGGACACCCCTACTAGGCCACAAGTCCATGTGATCTCACAACGGGTGAGATGATTTTGAGAGCTGGCTTGTGCAATACCCAAAACTGCTTCCATATACGGTAGGCAGGCTAAATGGCTTGTATCAGATAGCCCTAAACACGAAACCCTTAAATGCGAATTCCTCAACCGAGTCTACCATTTGCGTAAGAACCCCAAAAGAATGTTGACAAAAATAGAATCCCTATACGACCGTTGTAGGGAAAAACATTTTTTGGGGGGGTTCTTAAGAAAAAAATAGTAGGAGTTGAGGGAGCACACCCGGGAGGCGCATGAGCCTCTTCAGAGATGCCTGCCGCGCCCTTGCCACGTCGGAGCACACCGATATCATCCTCGAGTTCTGGCAGGCCTTTTGGGTTTAGGGTTTAGGGTTTGCGTGACCTGCCCACCCGGTGGGGCCCTAGGCTGGCTGCAAGAGCAGTACAGGGCAGCTTTCCTGTAGAATCGTCTACAGTACCGTCGTCCCACTTTGCCAGCTTCGGTAATCGTCCTGGCAGCGGTGCAGCACCCGCCAACCGGAATTCAATGATGTTCAATGTAAGACGATAAGCCCCGTGCCTCAGAGAACCTCTTAGGTCGGCCGGTCCGGAGCACAGGGGCACATGCACCGTCTGCGTGAGACGCCAACTGCAGGGGATCGCCGGGATTCACCGGGTCAAAGGTGCCAGGGATGCCTGCTGTGATCATCAACACTTGGGACGACGCGGTGACGGCCGTGCGAGCGCAGCGTTTACCGGGGGTCTGGCTCCGACGGAAGGCGGAATGGCCGCATGTTTAGGGTGATGACGCTTATACGGAAAAACCGCATGAAGCTCAGAAAGGATTTTCCCTCCCTTTTTCAGGCCCAAGGTTGATCTGGTGCACCCTCGAAACCTGCACCCTGCAGGAATCGGAGGCCGTAGTCCTAGCGACTTGGCACAAAGGTTGCGGGAGTGTAAACTGGGACAAAGGTGCCTTGTTTTCTCGCTTGGCTGAGGGTCTATGGGGTTTGGGGCAGAGTTGATGACCAGCCCTGCTGGTGCTTGTCGTTCAGGGTTTCGCGATTGGAGTTCGAACCTTGATGGTTCCTTGACTGGGGGGGGGGGGGCGGGGAGAATGGAGAGAAGGTGCAATCATCCCTAAACCCTAAACCCTAAACCCTAAACCCTAAACCCGGGCTACAGCGAACCCCGCTGTAGCTGCGCTTTCGCTGCGAAGAAATGCTGGAGTTCCAGCCGCAGCTGCTGCAGCAGGTGCTGAATGGGGGCCTGAATAATTAGAATAGGGTTTGGGGGGGTTGTTAGTTATATTGTAGTATACTTACAAATGGACCATAAGGGAATACTATTCGTAGTTATTCCGACCCCTATATTACCCTAATTCAACGGAACACTTGGCAACTGCAAGTCAAGAATGACCAAGCCTTTCAACGCCATTCACTCCGACCCAGGAAACCTTGAAAGTCCTTCGCGAGTTCGGCCTACAGAACCGCGTGGCGGCGTGGGGCTCTCCGGAAATCGCTGCGATACAGTAGCTGAGCCAACCTATGGGGGTTTCCGCAGTTGGGGGGTACCGTACTATTGGGGTCCTTACTATAAGGGACTCCTACCCCATTTTCGGAACCCCAATATAGCTGCCATTGCGGTGGAGCATGTGCCCCTTACTGTCACAGCCACACGGACACGAAAGCCCAGCCCGTTTCAGATCGGCTTCGTAGCCCTGAACCCAGCTCTGAAAACCGAACTATCCATCCACATGTTGGCCCAAAAAGCTCCATGCGACGACATGCAAATCAACCATGCTCTTTCGTAATGCGCACCAGTACCCATTTAGGGTGGGATTCCTCATCATGAACAAGGGACCCCGACTACCCCCAGGAAAATGGAGCATGTGACATATGGTCAGCTAGCTCTTCAACTCTTGTCTCTTTCTTGTCACACTTAATAAAGGAAAGCCGGGCCGCATGCACAATAGGCACCATATTGCTCAGAAGGTCCGATATGGGTAGATGGACCCTTGGGTCCTTGGGGTAGCGGAGCCTTCCCTGCCCAATTGTTGCTTTGCAAAGGCTAGGTGCCCATATGAACCCCATGAAGCAAAAATAGGGTTCCCTGTGACTTGTTTCGAGGTTGCCACATATGAGCTCGTGTTTTGCAGGCCCTTCTTCCTGAAAGCTCTCAGCTTCCACAACCTACCGAGCGAAGACCACTTCTTCGGGTTTAGGATGGGTTGTTGCAGGCTTCCAAGTTCGACCTTTCGAGCCTTCGGTGCTTTCCTGATGGCTGCTCCCGCCCGGGATATTCTGGGCTGCACAGGCAGTGGTGCCGCAATGCGTGTCCGGAGATTCCCGTGATCGTCACCTTCAAACAGTCCTTCGTCGTCTGGTTTTTCTGGAACGTCGGGTTGCTGCGACGCCAGGCTGCAAGTCGCAACCCAACGCAAGGGCTCTGAGTCTCTGAGGCCTCAAAGTAACCATAAAGGTATGAGGTATGAACGATGCGTCTCTTGTTTGCCTGGCGGGGTGACAGGGCATGCCGAGGCTTCCCGGATTCGGCATTCAACCATCTTCTCCCCAAGGATGCGGATACCCGACGTCGCGGCTGCTCCCCTTCTTTTCCGAGCAAGAGCCCCGAGTGGTGTTCAACGTGCTCCATGTGTCTGAGGCCTGAGAAGCTTGGAGTTCCGAGTTTTAAAAGGTGCTGAGTTGAGACTGCGGCTGCTAGGGCATGGAGGGTTGGTTCATAGGGTACATCCAGGGCTTATTGAAGGGTGCACTTAGGGCGTCTAGATAGGGTCCTCGGCTCAAAGTTTATCAGCTTGCAAACAGGGATGTTCCCGCTTATACTAACACTTCTTAAAATGGATTCTAGTAACCCCCAATTAACATCCTTATGATGGACTGTTATAAGTTTCAGGGGAACATACCAAGACAAGCATCGTGACAGGGCCTCCCCAGCGCGATCTTCAAGCTCGCCAAAGTCGATCCGGACCGATCGCCACTGCGCGCCGGCGTGATTCGCCTGCTGCTGCGCCTCCTCAAGGCCTCCGGGTACCCTAAGCCCATCCTAAACCCTAAACCCTGAAGCCAAAACCCTAAACCCTTAAACCCTTGTGTTGGGGGCTCTATAAATATGGGGCTAGCAAAGCTTCAATGGTGGCTGTTTGCCTGGTTCCTTAAAAAAACGGGCGGCGCAAACCCAGAACCCCAGAGACCCATATTGAACCCTATATGTGTCGCGTCCCATGGAGCCTCTTGATGGTCTAGGGTTTGGGCTTCCATAGGTTACGGGCCATCCCTCTTTGAGCTGCGTGACGCAGGGTAAACAGGGCTTCCAAGGGTAGTTTCATGGGCCCTGAAAGGCGCGACGCGTGGAACTTTCTTACGGCGCCTGGACGATTTAACTTAATTCACAATCCCACCGCGCACCCCCAAGCAGTCAGGGTGTCCTGAATAGCCCAGCATTGGGTTATAAGTTATACAGGGTATCAGGGGTCCCCTTTAACCGGTCCTTTTTCAAAGGACCATGTAACTGCCCTAAGAGGGCTGCCGGTTCCCTGTCCCTGGAGGGCTTGAACAGGGTTGTCAGGCAACCCTAGACCCTGAAACCCCACAATAACACTAAAGCCATAAAACTTAAACCCTAACCTTAAAACCCCCCCAAAACCCTAGAACCCCCAAAACCCCTAAAGCCCTAAAATCCTAAACCCTATATAGAGGGCTTAGGTTTTGGGGTTTTGGGCTTTTCGGGTAGCACACTGCCAACCACGCCAGGGCTTTACAGACACACCGCGGCTCTTTCAGTTTCTCTCTGACCGTTACAAGGCGGGAGCTCTGGCTTGGTTAGGGTTTAGGGTGTAGGGTGTAAGGTATAGGGTTTCGGGTTTGGGGTTTGGGGTTTGGGGTTTAGGGTTTAGGGTCTAGGGTTTTCGCGTTTAGGGTTTAGGTGGTTTAGGTGGTTTAGGTGGTTTAGGTGGTTTAGGTGGTTTAGGTGGTTTAGGTGGTTTAGGTGGTTTAGGTGGTTTAGGTGGTTTAGGTGGTTTAGGTGGTTTAGGTGGTTTAGCTGGTTTAGCTGGTTTAGCTGGTTTAGCTGGTTTAGGTGGTTTAGGTGGTTTAGGTGGTTTAGGGTGTAGGGTGTAGGGTTTAGAGTTTAGGGTTTAGGGCTCTCAGCACACGGGATGTGACAGGCATGGATTCTTCGGATTTGGACTTTCAGGGCCTCCGACAAGGAGGTTATGAATGCTGGACAGGCTTTGAGGAAGAAAGGAAGGCTGTCGGTGTTTAGGGATTAGGGTTTAGGGTTCAGGGTTTTTGGTCTCCGGCAATCAGGGGGGGAGGGGGGGGTGAGAAAGTACCGAAGAAACTGGAGAGCTGAGAGAGGAGAGGGGAGACCTGCAAGGTCCTGCAGTTCTCTGTAAACACGAGCCGTACCGAGAATCCTAAGCCCTGTAACTAAGCCCGGAGCCTAAATATTCGGGCCCGTATGATAATCGGCAAGTGTCAGAAGGCTTCGCCAGGTCTTACCCGTCTCGCCCTAAGCCATCACCTCAGCAGGTCCCCACCGTGCTTTTCATTTGCAACACCGCCCGGGATATCGCTACCTGCAGCTCATATCCCGGCGTCGCTGCAGTGCAGACAGACTCCTGACCACACTTTTGGAGCAGGAGGCTTCTTGAAAGGTGGCTCTTCGACTTCTGAACCGAAGATTCATGACGAGACTGTTGAGCCCGAAAGCCCAACAAAAGCTAGAAGGCCCATGATCCGAGCCCGATGATACCGCTGCACTGTGCATGAGCGTAGATATGGGAGTTTCCAAAAGCTGGCTTCCCAGTAAATGCAGCAAAACTCCCCAAAAGTGGACCTCTAATTGTCGGTGTGCAAAGGAGTGTCTGTCTCTGACTGGCTATGTCACCCTGAACGGGTAGCGCAACTGCTTGACTGTCAGCCAGCTGCCAAGGACTTTCCGAGGCTGTTTATGACCGACTTGGCGATGTCGAGGTAGCCAAGGAAGATCATGATGTGAGTGTGGAACATCCACGGCATCCGAAAAAACAATGGCCGCGCCTCTGCGGAAAACTGCCCGGTATGGCCTGCGAGCTTTTTGGATTCATATCGGTTTCGCTTTGACTTGTAGCTGCAGCTTTGCTCTGCATCTTCGACTGGGGGCTCGTCGGTGTCTCTGTGGGCTCCCATCGGTGCATTCAAAGATCACCAGAGTCCGCAGACAAGAAGTGCTTTGAATGGTGCTGCGCTGCATTATCTAAGTTGACTTTTCGTTTCTATTTTCTTTATCTAGGGATTTCATGGGGTGGTACAGGTATTGTTTTTTCTCAGAAGTCAGTGCGTGCAAGACCTCTCAGAACCCAAGTGGCATGCGAAGCGAATCCTTCACCGGGTCACCCCAGGTCACCCTAAACTCTAAACCCTATAATATCTATAAATCCTGAACCCTAAACCCCAGCTACAGTGCCTCCTGACTGGATCATACCCTTGGCCACTTGCCTCCGAATCACTTTCAATTAGTCGAGGGCCCACGTGCCAAGGCATAGATTTGTCAAAGTAGCCGCAGCTCCATCAGAAGGTCATGTCCTTATTTTTCCTGTTTCAGTTGAACTGCCCGGAAGGCATTTGCGAATATTTTCGACAATGGTTGTCGATTGTCCGACAACCCTGTTCCCTATACCCGTATCCAGCACCCTCTACGCGTCAGACCACACACCCTTTGTACCCTATAAACCCAAAAGCTAGACAGTCTGCAAACCCACCAGGAGACCCCAGACCACAAAAGACCACAGCGGTCGGTTCTATAAACTTGAGACGCATCGGTGGCTGCAGCTGCAAAAGCACGGTTTCAGCCGGCCAACATGGCACCAGGGCAGAGAAGGCACTACCACCAATAGCTAGTGGACCACGTCATTATCTCTTTGCAGCCACAGCCCGGATCCCTTCCACTCTAAATGTAAACCCTAAACCCTGAACCCTATAAGGCCCTAAACCCTAAACCCTAAACCCTAAACCTTAAACCCTAATTAAACCCGAAACCCTAAACCCTAAACCCTAAACCCTAAACCCTAAACCCTAAACCCTAAACCCTAAACCCTAAACCCTAAACCCTAAACCCTAAACCCAAGCAGGGCCCCTTGCCCCATGGCCTTGGAAGCGTGACCTCAGTGGTTGGCGCTGCCTTGGGGCGATGCCACGGGGATTCCTTGCGGCACTCCTGGGTGCACAGGACAGCAGAGGGTTTTAGAGATTTAGGGTTTGGGGTTTAGGGTCTAGGGTTTAGGGTTTGGGGTTTAGGGTTTGGGGTTTGGGGTTTAGGGTGTAGAAGTAGAGGGCTTTAAAGGGTTTTTGGGGTTTGTAGGGTTGTGGGGTTTAGGGATTTAGGGCTTCAGGGTTTTGATTGTTCTTAGGGTCAGGGTTTTCAGGATTTTAGGGTTTTGGGTATTTTGGGGTTTATAGGGTTGGTGGGTTTAGGGATTTAGGGTTTCAGGGTTTTGGGGTTCTAGGGTTTCAGGGTTTAGGGAGTTAGGGTTTCATGGCTTAGTTTTTTTTTTTTTGTTTTCTGTTTTTGGTTTAGGTTTTGGGGCTTTAGGGGTTTAGGGTTTTTACGTGTTTAAGGGCTTTAGGGTTTTAGGAGCTTCGGAGTTTCAGCGTTTTGGGGGTTTAAGGGTTTTAGGGTTTTGAGGGCTTTAGGGTTTTGATGTTTTTTTGGGTTTTTTGTGTTTTTATTCTGTGTTTTTGGGCTTTAGGATTTAGGGTTTAAGGGTTTAGGTGTTTCGGGTTTTTTGCTCAGACAATCTCCACCAAGCAATGTCTGCTAGTTGTCACATCCCGGGAGGCGAAATCTTTGTTTCCCAAGTCCAACCCCTCGTCCACTAGGCTTGGCCTGATTACTTCTTGAGTCCTAAGCAACATCCTGAACGTCTAAGCAACTAGCGAAACAAGGGCCTTCTTTCAAAGAGACATGGATGTTCGCAAAGCGCATGCAGAAAGGAGTGCTTAGGGTGCAGGGGTTGGGCTCTAGGGCTTGTTCTTCGCGAACCGGACGTTCTAACATGCACCAAAGCTTGGAAAGCAGGGTCTACAGTGCAACGGCTACGTGGGCAGTGAAACCCTAAATTACCAAAACATGCGAAGCCCAAAAAAAACGAAAACCCTTATTTCCTGAGCACTTAAACTTAAACCATGAAAATCCTTTAAAAGCCTCGTGGCCCACCGAAAAGGGGTCCCAGCTTCTAAGCCTCAAGCAACAGCAGGATCCCTCGCATGTGGAGCCAGTGCCTAGTCGAGTTCCGCCACTGGACATGCAGAGGTCGAGTAGTGACCCCACGTCCCCTTAGTGACCCCCCGTAAGTGCATCTTGGGGTTTATGTAGCCGGCTTTCAGATGAATCAGGGTGAGAGGCTTTCGAGGTGCGCAGGCCCTGGCGAATACCTAAACCCTGCACATCCTAAACCCTTCTCCGGGGCTCCTAGGCAGAGACGAACAGCCCAACAAAGTCCCAAGCATGGGGCCGCGGGAGCCACAAAACGCTGCGGACCTGTCCCTACCCCTCAGCCTACCGCATCTTCCGCCCAAATCGAGGCTTCGCGCTGCCCAGGCTGGGGCGGGGGGAAGGAGGAAAAGGGGAAGGGGGGAGAGGGAACTGTCTTGGCGATGTCTACCGGCAAGCCGATGTCCTGATGCTAGAAGGTTTAGGGTCTTACCATAGGGTCTGTATTCCACTCAAGTCTTCAGAGTCTGGATCTACTGTAAAGCCATGGCTTCCGCCAGAAGCTCTGAAGGGTGTTTAGAACTGACGGCCCTCAATGTGGTTCAACTCCTGCAGGGCGTCAAAGACACGCCCCTTGACGTGCCGCTTCCTTGGCTTCCGGGTCCTTTGATCTTCAGGGGTTGAGAGTTTTTCCCAGCTCTAAAGTTGAAGGCCTGTAGGATTCTAGCAGGGTTTTTCAAGGGCACAGCAAGCGAACCTCACACCCTGAACGCTCCCAATTGCGCACTGCTCCTCTTCAGAAAATCTGCTCTCTGCTTGCAGGGGTTCGCAGGTTGAGGTCAGGGGCTAGGCCCTTCTAGTGGTGTGCTGTCCAAGATGCTGGATGGCCATACTCCAACCAAGACGTGTCACACCATACAGCTGCCTCGATGGCATTTTGCTCCGCAAGGCCGTTGTCGAAATGGAAGCAGCTTGTTCTGTCCCATCGCCTAGGTCCCATCAAGGTCTCGACAACCCATCCACCCAGCTCCTACGCCTCCTACACCCCAAGCCCCCCAAAGCCCTCAGTCGAACCGATAAGCTTCCCAGGTCCGTCGATGTTTGCCCATGTCCGACCTCCCGGAGATGGGTGTGGCTGCCTAGCCGATTGCAACAAATTTTCTGCTACGTGAGGTCACCTTCGGAAGCCTTCTAAACGCCTTGGAGTACCCCCCCTATGAGTCGGAACTTCGAAGACCCTGCAACCTCGGAGCCACTTAGGCACATCTCTCGAGCTTCTTAGCAGGCGCGGGGGCCGCATGCTCTTCCTTGCGGGCTGCGCCTTTTGGGGTGCGGAGATTTTTGGAAGGAGGGCGGCATGACATCAGTTCTCTTCGTCCACCAGTCTCATGCCAAGGGCCTCTGAAACCCCATAGGGCCCTACAACATGCTGAATCCCCTGGTCCGTGCTAAACAACCGCGTGCGCATGTACATCAGCCGCCATTATGAGATCAGTTTGAGGTTCTGGGTCCAGGGGTGCCGGGGAACCCTAAACCCTAGACCCTAAACCCTAAGCCCTAAACCCTATGGTTCCAGAGAGGGTCGAAAGAGATCCCTCGCTGCCCAGGCGAAGTCCACTTTCATGCTCCAATCGACAACGCAGCGGACCCGAGAAACTTGTGTTGAGAAACTAGGTTTGGGTTCGGAGTTTGGCTGGTTCTTACAGTAGTCGGGATTTTGGGAAGAGGTCCTGATTTATTAAAGGGCAAAAAATGGCAGTAACAAGTTAGCAAGTTGCCTTCAATGCCGTATTTGCCTGTAAGCCTCCCAAGCATTCTGTTTTCTCAACCGACAAGCCTAAACTGACCAAAAGATGGGCCCCCCTAAAACCCCTGACCTTTTAAGCAATCTCTCCTGTGTCTCGATGCCTTTCCGGGATCGTCGCTGAGTCTAGGTTTTGCACAGCACTCATACCTAGGACCGGGAGTAGGCCCTTTTTCCTTTTTTGGGGGTCGGGGTTCCTTTACAATCCCCTTAAAACCAACAAGGGTACCCTTTTTATTCCTAGGTTACTCCGGGTCTAGATACGCAGTCACGCAGTGGTAGGCTTAAGCTTGTGGCGCCCCTCAGAAGTAGCGGTGGCCCACCTAAACCCTCAACCCTAAACCCTAACCAGTAAAAAAAAAAAACTAAAGCCTATAAACCCTAAACCCTGAACCCTGGACCCTAAACCCTAAACCCTAAGCCCTAACCCCTAAACCCTAAACCCTAAACCCCAAACGCCAAACCCCAAACCCCAAACCCCAAACCTGACAGTCTGACTCAGGCCGCAGCCAGCCCCGTGCTTGGAGTTTGGGGGAGTTTCGGGTCCCTTCAACACGAAAATGGGGGGGGCGTACCCTTTTTCGGGGTTCTTTGAAAAAGGAGTTGTAGTACTTGAAGGGGGAGATCCTACATGGAATCCCTTCTAAGGGTTCTGTTAATCCTCTTTTAAATTTTAAGAATGCGAAAGTTTGGGGAACTTCCAGGGGTTATGCCCGGCCAGGCTTTTGAAGCCGGAGACACATGCCTGGCATTAAGTAGATTTGTGTAGCACAATGATATGATATACATAAATATTGGTATATTCAATCAATACATAAATAAACTAGATAAATATAAATATATATATATATATATATGTATATATATATATATAACGTATTACAGCTCATGTTTTGGATATTGAGATTATTCCGTTTGTTATCGTGTGTTATAATTGGACATACAGTGTGTGTGTGTGTGTGTATATGTATAGTTCAGGTTAAGCCATATCAACCCTAAACCCGAACCCCCCCCAACCCCCGCCCCCCCTCCCTAACCCCCCACCCCCCCACCTAAACCCTGCAACCCCGGGTTTGCGCGCCTCGTCTGTCAGCCTCCGTCTACGCGCCGAGCTCCAAGCAGAATGAAGAGCCCGAGCCCCTGTAGGGCTCCTGGGGTTTTGGAGTTTATTAGGGTCGAAAAGTTTCGGGGGGTTTAGGGTTTGGGGCTCAGAAATTTTAGGGCTTAGAGTTTTAGCCCTTGGCGCTTCAGGGTTGAAGGTTTCAGGTACTCGGGTGCCTTTTGTTGGGGTAAGGGGCTTGGGTGCTCGGCTCGACCAACATGGCTCGAACATCTCTCTCCCTCTCAAGTCGCCGACCAAGGTGTCAGATCCTACCCCTGGCTCGACCCTAACCGTCCCTGAGTCGAGATTTACCTATACCCTCATGTTAATGTCCCTTGGTAGCCGCAGTGAGAAGGATAAATGGAGGCCCCCGTGAAAGTTTACCGTAACCAGCAAGCTCTAGACTCTAAACCCTAGAGGTAACAGGGTTAATTAGGGTTTAGGGGTTCAGGGGTTCAGGGGTTAGGGTTTAGGGTTTAGGGTTAAGGGTTTAGGGTTTAGGTTTAGGCTCTAGGGTTTAAGGGTAGACCCTCTTACTCTCTCTCTGATTCACCGCAAAACCGTTTCACAGGACGAGCCCATTCTCTGCGAAGCAAGCGTTGGCTCCCGGCACGGGCTACTGGCCAGGGCCTCGGGGACTTTGGGATATGTTGGGTTTAGGGTTTATGGGTTGAGGGTTTAGGGTGGGCCTTGGGGGTTCATAGCCCTTTGGTGGGTTGAGGAGGTCATTGAACTCATAGGGGGAAGAGTGGGTTCCTCCATGTCCAGCTGCTGAGGGCGTCGCCATACTTGCGAAATCCCAAACCCTAGACCCTAGACCCTAAACCCTAAACCCTAAACCCAAAGTCAGACGACAACCTGCAGGTGCTCGACGGGTCAACATGACCCGAAAGAGCTGGTTGCCCCTTGGCAGAGAGGTTGATGGTTTCGGCATACCAGGATGGGCCATTAGGCCTTAAAATCCCCATAATGAACCCGATAAAGGGCCGTTTAAGGGATTATAGAGTATAATCGCTCATCCTGGTAGGACTTCGGGAAGTTGGGCACACCCCCGGCATGTTGCCCAACGCTGCGCAAGCCCTTCTCTGCCAGATCTGGACGGGTATCATGCACAAGCGTCGCGCAGTCCGCGCATTGAAGATCTCCTGGGCCCGAACCTCAGTCGGCTGAGGTCTCCACATCCGGCATGGGCGTGGGGTGATAGATCTATGTATGCATGTATGTATATATATGTATATACATATAGCGGGAGAGAGTGAAAGAGTGACAGAGTGAAAGAGTGGCAGTGTGAAAGGGTGAAAGGCTGAAAGCGTGAACGTGAGAAGTGAGACACCTCGATGACCTCTACCTCACAACATCACAGTTAAAGAGGCCAGGCGGAGCATGTAACACGCCCACAGAAGAGGTGATGTTTTGATTTTCGATGTTGAGGCGCAAGCCCAGATATGCTGGAAGATTGTGCAACAACCATTTCTCTCGGGAGCCCTAACTTGGCCGCCTCCGGGAAAACACCTGCGGCAAGTGCCTGATTCCAAAGGCTCAGCTCCTGGGATTCTCTTGCCCCCTTGCCCAGGCCTATGCGCCCGGATACGTGCGTGTCCGCAGCACTCCCGATGGCAAGCACTGGGATACCGCCTAGCTGGCCCTGGTTTAAAGTTTGGAATTCCAGGGACTCGTTGGAGGTAGTGCTTCGAAGACCAGGCACCTTTCTTAGAGGTGAGAGTGCATCAGGTCCATGCATGGGAGCTCCCATGTAGGCTCTGATGCAGTACGTGGCTTGCGCGTTTCTTCGACTAGGATTTGACGTTGTCTGATCCGAATCCGAATCAAGGAGAGGGCTCTGGAGCACCCAAACCCCAAACCCTAGACCCTGTCAGAACTAACGCCGTAAACCCTAAACCTCCAAACCGCCGAAACCCTCAATAACCCCTGTGAGTCCCAGACCTCTCCCGTGCTTGGACCCCGTCTCCCCTTCATCCAGAAGCTTGAATCCGACACTTCTTGTTGAGCCTGGGTTTAGGGTTTAGGCTTTATAAGGTTCACGGCACTTCTAGGCTAAAGGGCTTTGGGTTCATGAGAATGTAGAGTTTAGCCATGCTTAGCCCATGTAGGGCTTTGTAGCTAGGGTTGAAAGAGGGGTGTTGGAGGAGGGCCTGAAGGGCCACGACTGCCCAACATGGCGCAAGCCTCTCGCTATCGGCCCATGGATCACCTGGACCTTCGGCTGCCCCAGAGTGTCCCTGAGGCCTACGAACACCAGGCCCGGGAATTTGGGTTAGGGCTTCGAGTTTGGGATGTTCCCCCTTAGACGAAGAGTCCTTGAATAGGGATTATAGTACCCCCCCTATGTTAAAATCCCGAGTAAGGGACTGTTAGTATAAGGGTGGAAAATGCCTGTTTTTGGTTCTCATGTGAAGGTCCTCGGGCCCCAAAGCTACTGTCAGGGTGCAGGAGTGAAGCTTTAGGGTTTACGGGAGCTCACGTTGACAGTTTAGGCGCTTTAGGGTTTTTTGTTTTCTTGCGTTGGGAGTGCGTGTTCTGTGTAGACTTGCTTGGACTAGCGAGACCATGACGCAATTTCGCTCACGGCACACAGAGCACGAACAAGAAAGGAGGTACTGTACCAAGAAGCACGTTTTCTACTCGATGTGGAAGAAGGATATTATATGCCATATGCCACCGCCACAACTCCTTTTCAGAGCTTTTGAGAGCTGGAGGGCTAGAGTGAGAAAGACGCCTCCACAGAGTTTAGCTGACCCTAAACCCCAAACCCTAAACCCTAAACTGTACACTTAAGGAATATCCCTGAGGGTTTGCCAGTGTAGAGAAGCAACCGGGTTTCCAAAGAAGCCACCTGCTCGCAAGGCTATTGAGACGCCCCAGGCAGCAGCGCAACTCAGCTGGCACAAAAGAAGGCTTGAGTTTGCACCCCTATAGACCTCCACACATCTTCGCGGCAAGAGCTTAGCTGAAGCCGTTGAACTCGCCCTTAGGCCTTAGCCTCCACCTTAATTACATCCCTGAACCTTTTTTGGGGCCAACGTCCCGAGGATTTGCGTGCCTGGACAGTTGGAGCTCAGCTACGAAGGCCGCATGAAGAGGAATCTGCAATGGGAGGAAGGCTAGAAGAGGTCGAAAAGACACGGAGCTGATCGGCCCATTTCAGGTTCAGGGTTCAAGGGATAGAGGTCCTGGGAACCAAATGCACTACAGAGGAAAGCACACCCACCCAGCCTCGTCCCCGCACCACCTTTCTGCCCGCCGTACAGCTGCAACCGGGGATCAGACGAGCTTGGGGCGCGGCCTGCAATCAAGTAGAGTCCTGCTGAGAATGGTTTCTCTCTGTTGGTATTTGAGGTTTCACCCCCTCCCCCCCCCTAAAAACTCAACCTGCAGACCCCCGCCACTCTTGGTCACACATTCGCGGGTCGTTGGTTGCATCTGAGTCGAACTGAGTAGGCGCCCGTGCAATGTGTCGCCAAGTGGGCGATGGTACAAAGGCACCTTCGTTTGTTGGGAGGCGCTTGTCCACAACCCTGTGCCCAGAGGAAACAGAGAGAAAGGCCCCACCTCCCTATAAAAGGGGATGTTCCGCCTTATGCTCACAATCCTTGCTGGGGATTAGAATAGTGGGGGGGGGGGGGCGGGGGGTACGATGATCCCTATTGAGGATTGTTAGTATAAGGGGGAGCATCCAAACTTTTTCAACCTTTCCTTACTGCATCTTAGTAGGGACTCGGGAACCAGGTACCCTGTATCATCCGTTAAAAAGGTGCAAGCTCCTACCTCCCTACTATGCAACAGGAAGTAAAACCCTAAACCCTAGACCCTAATTGCACCCTAAACCCTAAACCCTAAACCTATACCCTTTACCCTAAACCCTAAACCCTAAACCCTAAACCCTAAACCCTAAACCCTAAACCCTAAACCCTATACATCTACATCTCTTTGGCCTCAGTCGTGGTGGAACGGAGTCGACTCCTTGCCTCGCGCCTCTCCGAGCGCCTCCCAGAGCATCTTCGATGCAGTGCCGTGCGAGGGTTCATGTTCAGGGGTTTAGGGTTTAGGGTTTAGGGTGTAGGGTCTAGGGTTTGGGTTTATAGGGTTGTAGGGCTATAGGGCTGTAGGGTTATAGTTATAGGATTATGGGGTTGTAGGGGTTTAGGGTTTGGGGTTTGGGGTCTAGGGCTTCTAGGGTTTGACCCCAAGCATGGCATCCATGAAAAGCTCCGATTCACACTTTGCCCGAGATACCCGTCCTTGATTAGGATCCCTACTCTAAGCCCCAAACCCTAAACCCTAAACCCTAATCCACCCCCACCCATGCCCCAGGGCATCGAAGGCGTGCTCCGTGGGCCTTTTGGTCGACAGGACGCGCGGGAGACTTTCAACTGAACGGGGACAAAGGCCCAATAGTGCCAAGTAACCATGGGATAGTGAAGCCCCTGTGCCCTAATATCAGCCTAAACCCTAAACCCCAAACCCTATAATCCTATAACCCTGTAGCCCTCTCACGTAACCCTATAACCCTCTCACTCTCACCCTAAACCCTAAACCCTAAACCCCTAAACCCTAAACCCTCGACCCTGTCAGGGATCAGGCTGGCAGGTCAGGTGGGTGACGGCTCGGAGGCAGATAGAACGCTTCGTGGCCTTCAGCTCACGATCCAAACCCTAAGCCCTAAACCCTAAACCCTAAACCCTAAACCCTACACTCTACATCCTACAATCCTAACCCTGCATCCTAAACCCTAAGCCCAAATGTGCCCGGCACCGTTTGGGCTCAGGGATTTATGCGGAGTGAGGGGCTTCGGGGAACTTTGATCCTGAAGTTTCGGGTTTGGGGTGTAGGGTTTACGAACTAACTGCGGGTCCCGGAATAGAGGCGACTTCATTGAGAAGTACCCAGAACCTCCCGGATAGACCCTGACCCTTGGGTTTAGACTGGGTTTCAGGGCTGTTTGGGGAAGGACTCATCCGGATTTCCTACCTTTGCTTCTGGCATGTGCGCGCTGCCTCCGGCCCTTCATCCTCCTCAGTGCTTCAGCAACCAAGAGATGAGAAGTGACTTCAACGACGGGCCGAACCCCCGAAACGCTAAAGTTTAGGGTTTAGAGTTGAAGTTTACAACCCAACACTCGAGTATGTTCCCTGGGGTACGATGTATGCGCGGTGTGCCTCACTTGGACGATCAACTGCACCATTCAGGATTTAGAGGTTTTGAGGGCTTCCGTTACGCGCCTTTTCCGGGCGATCGTGTCTCCGGGGGTCTTAGGGAGGGTTTAGGGGCGTAGGGCTTAGAGGGCTTTAGGGTTGAGGACCATTTTTTTTCACAAAGGCCTGGAAATCTTGAGGAACAGCGATCTTATCTCGGACGAGAGTCGATAGCTGGGGTCGCTGGAGCATAAGATGCCCCAATTGGGGAGATGCATGGCCGGTATTGGCGAGTGTTTAAAGACTCCTTATGTGAACATGGAGTGTGTATAACATGGGTTTCCTTTTGGGGGCTGGTAGGAAAACAAACGTTACCTTACATGTAACAAATTCCTGCATAGAAACCAACCACATAAGACTACCGGTAAGCGCCATGCAGAGCCTTTGGGTTTAGGGTTTAGGGTTTAGGGTTTAGGGTTTAGGGTTTAGGGTTTAGGGGTAGTTATAGGGTTTAGGGTTTAGGGTCCTAGCCTCAAGGCACTGATCTACCCGATGCAGCGAGGCAAGATGCAAGGAACCGCCGCTCGCCAGCAGCGGTGAGGTGAAGGGCACTTAGAGCTTCGGAAATGCCATGTTCAAGGCTACTGCATCCCTCAGCCCTGAGGGTTTAGGGTTTAGGGTTTAGGTTTTAGGGTTTAGGGTTTAGGGTTGAACCCCAGCCCTACTGAATTGTTTCTAATTGTTCCTGAACTCCCCAATATTCTTCGGATGGAGCCTTGAGATACGCATTGGATACCTGCTTCCAGACGCAAACGAAGCTTGTTGCAATGGGAACAACAGGCTTTGGAAGCTTGTCACACTGTCTCTTGCGCTTCTTCTCTTCCCTTGGAATATTGGCACAACTTGTCTGCAGAGAGTATCCGGCAAAAACTGCTGCCGGAGCGAGCTGTCTAGCGAGGTCAATTTGCCCAGCAGTGCAATGTTTCTTGAAGTTCCGGCTTGCAGGTATTCAGCAAGTGCAGGCTTACGCTGAAGACAAGCGTATGTCACATCGGTTCATCGCCCAGGCACGTTTTGCTCAGGGTCCAGGTGTCGTTTCGAGCGCGCAACTTTCGCAGGGAAGCGCACTACATTTGCCACCAGACTTCCCCGGACGGCCGATGCGCTTCGACGACGACAAGCCCATCGTGCAAACGACGGTGGGACAGGCCTACCAGGACAGCAAGACGCAAGCGTGCTTGCTGCAGCCCGGCCGAGGTGGTGTTTCGTAGACCAGGAGCAGTTCGCATCCGGTTGCATCTGAGGTTCTACGCCCTTGCCATAGCCAGAGCTCGCTTTATCTCTTTTAGAAAGCAATCTGCACGTTATCGTGCCAACATCTTGGAACGTCTCCATCTCCAGGACGTTAATCCCTCATTGATGCCTCATGTCTGTGCTCCTGCCTGGAGCCGCAAAGTTAACTGCCATTTCTGCTCGACCGCTTTCATTTTTTCGGCTAAAGCCGAAAGATTCACGCGCTTCTTCTCTTCCCTTGGAATATTGGCACAACTTGTCTGCAGAGAGTATCCGGCAAAACTGCTGCCGGAGCGAGCTGTCTAGCGAGGTCAATTTGCCCAGCAGTGCAATGTTTCTTGAAGTTCCGGCTTGCAGGTATTCAGCAAGTGCAGGCTTACGCTGAAGACAATCGTATGTCACATCGGCTCATCGCCCAGGCACGTTTTGCTCAGGGTCCGGGTGTCGTTTCGAGCGCGCAACTTTCGCAGGGAAGCGCACTACATTTGCCACCAGACTTCCCCGGACGGCCGATGCGCTTCGACGACGACAAGCCCATCGTGCCAACGACGGTGGGACAGGCCTACCAGGACAGCAAGACGCAAGCGTGCTTGCTGCAGCCCGGCCGAGGTGGTGTTTCGTAGACCAGGAGCAGTTCGCATCCGGTTGCGTCTGAGGTTCTACGCCCTTGCCATAGCCAGAGCTCGCTTTATCTCTTTTAGAAAGCAATCTGCACGTTATCGTGCCAACATCTTGGAACGTCTCCATCTCCAGGACGTTAATCCCTCATTGATGCCTCATGTCTGTGCTCCTGCCTGGAGCCGCAAAGTTAACTGCTATTTCTGCTCGACCGCTTTCATTTTTTCGGCTAAAGCCGAAAGATTCACGAGACGATGCTCTTGATACTGAACTCAGTAGATCTTGGATCGCTTCGATTGATTCTTGCCTATGCAGATAGACGAGATCATTCTTAGAATGAGCCGCGATGAGATTACTTGTGACACCCCGGTAGGCAACGCCCTGCTTCATTGATGGAACGACGCAAGTCCGACCGAGCCCCAAACCCCAAACCCTAAACCCAAGCCCGAAACCCGAAAACCCTAAACACGAACCCCAAAACCCCAAAACCCTAAAACCCGAAAACCCTAAAACCCTAAAACCCTAAAACCCTAAAACCCGAAAACCCGAAAACCCGAAAACCCGAAAACCCGAAAACCCGAAAACCCGAAAACCCGAAAACCCGAAAACCCTAAAACCCTAAAACCCTAAAACCCTAAAACCCTAAAACCCTAAAACCCTAAAACCCTAAAACCCTAAAACCCTAAAACCCTAAACCCTAAAACCCTAGAACCCTAACCCCTTGGCATCGAAGGCTTCTTGGTGGAGACCCTAAAGCCTTCTCTCGTCGTGCCTTGGCGGCAGGTACCAAGTTCGCACGGGTTGTTCTCAATTGACCTAAGGTTTAGGTTTTAGGACTTACGGGGGTTTTAGGGTTTTAGGGCCTTTTCAGCAAACTGGCAAGCATGCTATACATCGTGGTTGGACAGCGGGAGAACGCAGCTGCAGCAGGACCCTGTTTAGTGCTGGCAGAGGTGGAAGCGCATCCGTTGGGTTTTAGGGAATATTCAATTTGTAGGTACCTTCTCAGCTCAGAATCCCTTGCAACACAAGGTCCTCAACAGGGCCCCTTGACTGTTTCGGGAAAAGGAAGATTGCTAGGGCTGGGCTTAGAGTGGTCTGCAATGGCTTGAAGTTTACCATGCATTCATTTTCATGTCGGCTCTGCGTATGGTTCTTTGTAGGGCCGAGCTTTTCAGCCCCTAGAGGTTATCCACTGGGATATTCCCCCTCATACGACTGGTTTTTAAGAAGGATTATCGTAGCCCCCCCTATGATAATCCCTATCAAGGACCGTCAGTATAAGGGGGGCACATCCCACCCCTAAACCCGAAACCCTAAACCAGGTTATACAGTCGGGTTTAGGGTTTAGGGTTTAGGGTTTAGGGTTTAGGGTTTAGGGACCGCAGCGTCAGCGCGTAGAGCTTTGTATGGGACAGTGGCTCCTCTGTCACCTTCTGCGACATAGCCCCGCGCTCGTGTAGCTGCCTATTAGGGTTTGGGGTTTAGGATTTAGGGCTTAGGGTTCACAAGAAGCTGCCCGTCATCAATCGGCAAACCTTCCCATCGGAAAGGTCGGCAATTTTCTTGGATTGGGTTTCTTTATAAACCCCCTGCCAACCCTGCCTACTTTTGCCTTTGCATCTCAAGCTTCCAAACGTTCATTCACTTGGCACGGTCATCTACCGACAATTCGATGTCGCGAAGCCCTCCTGATCCCTTAAAGTCCCTAACGCTCGCAGACTCCAAGCTCCAAGCCCTAATCATTCCCCAACTTTATTTCCCAGACCCCAAACCCTAAATCCTAAACCCTCAACGCCCCTTCTCCCCGCCCCGACCCCCAAGCCTGGCAATCCCAGGTGGCAGACTCCGCGGAGCGCGTGGCTGCCATCCCACTGGTCGAAGCATAGCTGGGTTTATTTAGGGTTTAGGGTTTAGGGTTTAGGGTTTAGGGTCTAGGGTCTAGGGTCTAGGGTCTAGGGTCTAGGGTCTAGGGTCTAGGGTCCAGGGTCTAGGGTCTAGGGTTTAGGGTTTAGGGTTTAGGGTTTAGGGTTCAGCATTTCAAGTCCAAGCATTCACTTGTCAAGAAATTACTCCAGAAAAATACCCACCCGCCCAAAGAATCCCACAACATTGAGAAAATATTTCACTTATGGAACGACCTTGCCCAGTAAAAAGTAACCTGCCCAGTAAAACATGACCTTGCCCAGTAAACAAATGACCTTGCCCACTAAAAAAAACTCACCTTGCCCAGTAGAAAAATGACCTTGCCCAGTAAACGAGTTACTGGGCAAGGTCATTTTTTACTGGGCAAGGTCGTTTTTTGGACCGAACGACCTTGCCCAGTAAAAATGACCTTGCCCAGTACAAGAATGACCTTGCCCAGTGAAACAATCACCTTGCCAAGTAAAAAACCGACCTTGCCCAGTAGAGAATTACCTTGCCCAGTAAATTTATGACCTTGCCCAGTAAAAAAACACTTTGCCCAGTAAAACAAATTACCTTGGCCAGTAAAAGAGGTACTGGGCAAGGTCACTTTTTTTTACTGGGCAAGGTCATTTTTCTGGGCAGGGTCACATTTTACTGGGTAAGGTCGTTTTTTGGACCGAACGACCTTTCCCAGTAAAAAAAGACCTTGCCCAGAAACTCCATTAACATTTTTAATATATATGAACGAGAGGTTTAGGGTTTAGGGTTTAGGGTTTCACCCTCGCACCTTCGGAGCCTTTTAGGGTTTAGGGTTTGGGGTTAAGGGTTGAGGGTTTAGGGTTTAGGGTCTCTTGACGCTTGACATGTTCCTAGACTTTGCTTGAAGATCTAGGTACGCCCTTGGGATATCTCCCTTATTGGGCTTAAGAGGATCATACTCAGGAATATGTTTTCAGAGGGTTTTAAAGGCCCTCCTAGAGATAGGTCTGACTCTCTTCATGGCTGAGGGTTCAACCTCTGGTTCATAACGTCCTGGATTTTTGCATTTGTGTTTTAAGTTTAGGGCACGGGCTTGGTGATGGAGCCCAAGCTGTTCAAACTCTGGGATTCCAGTATGATTGCTGTTTAAAAGCCAAAGGTCTTTAGGGCCTCACCTCACCTAAGTCTCCACAAGGCCCATACTAGGCCCCTTGGATATCCTATACTTCCCAAAGAAGCCTAAACTCTCTAAACTCCCGAAACTCCCTAAGCCTTGCACCCCTGAAAGCACGTTGGCTTGACAGCCCGCTCAGGAGGGACAGGACTGGATCTCACTGGAGGATTCTCTGTTCAACATTGACCTGCTGGGCAGTCTAGGCGGCTTCCACGAGCCAAGCATGCAACTTCGCAGGTTCTGACATCCCATAAACGTCATGATATCATGGTCGTTTTTGAGGTTCCGACTCAGCCGCACAACCTAGACCATTCCCGAAGCCCCATAAGTGGCTAGCTTTTTGGGAATCTACAAGCCCGTGCTTGGAAATCCTAGCACTGTCTCGCCTGAGAAGGCCAATCTGCTGTGGACCGGGTCAAGCAGCAGCCCAAACATGACGATGCGGAGTGCCACTCAGCTGATACGGTCACTCATTGTTCGATTCGGGTGGGTTATTCGAGGCTTTGAATATCAGACGATTATGAGTCGTGCATTAGTCTACTTGGGTATGATGAGAGTGCCATACCAATATACTTTTGCTGCCATAAGTATTTCTTACATGGTTCTACTTATTATGTCTATAAGAACAGAATTTCTCAGAATGTATTAAATTTGGAATCATAACATGCATTTTGAAGAGAACACCGAACCATTGAAGTAATGAAACAATAACATGATATTTCCAGAATATCATATACAATAAAATATTCATATATCAATATAATACAATAGTAAAATGATACAATTTTTGCCGCAGAATCTAGCAGTGTATTCTTGCAGCCTTTCCTCTGAAGCTCACTCAATAGTTAAAGGTTGTTGAACAGGTCTAGAGTCCAGAGACGGGGCGGCAGGCAAGGAAAGACACGATACACGGTCGCGCCATGAGCGGCTAAGGCGATTCTATATAGCAACGATTGTCATGCACTAGCTTGAAGCTTGAAGCTACAGATTCTCTGAGATTCAAGCACTGAACCCTTCGAGGTCTGTTGTCCTTCATGTGTACGGGCGGAAGACGCCCGGCCGCAGTTCTTTGGAGATGGGTTTGCAGCCTCATCGTGTAGTCCTCCAATCATTACACCTCTGTAATGTCAGTTCGGTCATTTTGGGGGTGCTCGCAATTACAAGGCCGCTTTGTGCCAGGTACCCAAAGGAGCCCTAATTTCGCGAACCTACCAGATGGACCAAACCCTGGATTCGGCTGGTTGCTGCTTCGTACCCAGCGTCACAGGAGAGGCGTAGAGGGCACAGCTCACTTCATGTCCCCGAACTTGAACATAGAAGATGATCCTCAACCACTGCTGCTAGAAAGTTCGCAGAGCAGCACCGAGCTGCCAGCCTCCGAACTGGGAGTGGACCAAGTGAGTATATGCAACAGGGTATGTATTACTGTTTCTGGTGAGTGTAGATGAGGTTCCCTCCTTAATATTGGTGAGTGTATATCTTGGGTGTCTTTTTGGGTGGATACAAGGAATCTTAGCCCTTACGTCATCTGAACCTTATTCGCATAGGTTCTCAGACGTCTCTGCAAGCAGGCCAGCGGCTGAAGATTGCCAGAGTGACCCACCGCATGATGCTGCACGAGTTCCGCTGCTCGGCTGCCAGGACCTGCCACACTCTTTGAAACACTAATGGTATTCCCTTAGGGTCCCTTTAGAATTATACCATAGTATCCCCCAAAACCCTATTTTAATTACTCAGGCATTTTTTTTCGGTGTTGGGGGGGGGGGGCGCATTTTGTTCTTGAGCTGCAAGCCTCAAGCAGCCATTTGGAATCAATGCTCTTGAAAGGGCAGATGTCAGGTCACCGAGGTGGCGAGGCGTCTTGTGCTCTTTTTTTGGGGGGTGGGGGGGGGGGGGGGGGGGGGGGGGGGGTGGGGGGGCGGGGGGGGGGGGGTCGGTGGGTGGTTGGGGTGGGGGGGGGGGGGGGGGGGGGGGGGGGGGGGGGGTGGTGGGGGGGGGGGGGGGGGTGGGTGGGGGGTGGGGGGGGGGGGGGGGGGGGGGGGTTGGGGGTGGGTGCGGGTGGGGCGTTGTTTGGGGGTTTTGGGGGTTGTAGGGGTTTCTAGCATTCGGATTTAAAGGGCCTAGGGGCTTCTTCTCGCCCCCAAGCCTGGGATTCCCTAAGCCCTTACATAAAACAGTGAAATCCCTTAAAGCACTAAGCCCTTTCAAGGTTAGATGAGGTGATAAAGAGGACCTTTGCGCAGATTGGGCAGTCAGGCAATGCTTGGTATATTCTCTCTCGTGGGCCCTTCCGTACATGCTTGACTGGATCGCAACAAGTATGTCAGTATGTATGATTGTTCAATCTGCTTATTCATGGATAGAGGTAGATCGATGTTCAGCAAAGAGGTGAGTGTTCTCGGGCTGCTTGGGTTTCTGAAGCCCCGAAGCTGCCCAGGCTTCTACGCAGAGGTCTGTGGCCTCAAGGAGCCGCCACCCCCCAAAGATTGCAAGCGCACATCGCGAATCAGCCTCTGCCTTGATCTGTTCCGAAATTCGGGGTGCCTTATTGGGGGGTCCTTATTATAAGCGAATCCGACTATTTGGGAGTCTATTTTGGGGGTCCCCTGTTTTCGGAAAACGCCATCTGCTGGGCCTGTCGACGGCTTTCTCAAGATCCAATCTCACTCAGCTCGAGAGCCGAGCCGAGCACCCTAACCCCTAAAACCTTCTCAAACCCTATAGGTTTAGGGTTTAGGGTTTAGGGTTTAGGGTTTAGGGTTTAGGGTTTAGGGTTTAGGGTTTAGGGTTTAGGGTTTAGGGTTTAGGGTTTAGGGTTTATTAGGGTTTAGGGTTTAGGGTTTAGGGTTTAGGGTTTAGTATACTACCCTAAACCCCCTGAAGCCCCTAAACCCCCCCCCCCCCCCCGCCCCCAAGCCCCAAACCCCCTCAACACCAAACCCCAAACCCTAAACCCATCCCAACCCCCCAACAAGCCTACAGCACCTGGTCACCTCTGCAGGGTGGGCCGCCGAGGGTCCTCCAGAACCTGCGCCTCGGTTTTTTTGTTCACCTTCTCTGGGCAAGATCTCTTCGTTTTTGAGGGGATGTGGGGTTTAGGATTTAGGGTTTTTGGGGTCTTTAGGGTTTTTAGGGTTGTTAAGGTTGTTAGGGTAGTTAGGGAAATAGGGTTTTTGAGTTTGGATGAGTGTGTTGGGGTGTAAGGTCTAGGGTTTAGGAGTTAAGGTTCAGGGCTTAGGGTCTAGGGTTGAGGTTTGGGGTTTAGGGTTCAGGGTTTATAGGGTTTGGGGCAGTTTTTGCAGTTTTTGCAACATTTAGGGTGGCGGGGGGGGGGGGGGGGGGGTGCGGAGGGGCGTTTGGTTCTTGGGCACGTCTGGTGCTCGCAGCATGTCAACCCTAAGTACCTGTATAGGTTTAGGGTTTAGGGTTTAGGGTTTAGGGTTTAGGGTTTAGGGTTTAGGGTTTTCGGGCTTAGAGCTTAGGGTTTAGGGTTTAGGGTTCAGGGTTTAGAGCCAAGGGTTTAGGGTGTAGGGTTTAGGGCGCGCAGAACAGCGACGCTTGAAGCAAGGCGCTGCTTCTGGCCAGCAGCTGTGGTCGGTCAGCAACCTGACAGACAGTGTTATGGGATACACGCTAATTAAAACAGCCCTTGAGGGGGTGCGGGTTGCTGTAGGGGGGGGGGGGGGGGGGGGGGGGGGGGGGGGGGGGGGGGGGGGGGGGGGGGGGGGGGGGGGGGGGGGGGGGGGGGGGGGGGGGGAATGCAATTTGGCTTCATAGGGACAATTTGGCTTCATAACTGTTTGGGGTTTTGTTGGGGTTTTAGGGGCTTTCGGTTGAGGGCTTTAAGGGCTGCGGGTTTAGGCCTTACAGCTTAGGCCAGACAAGTTCCGATCCTGCCAGGGTTTCGTGTTTTAGGCTTGCCCTCTTGCTGTTAACAGACTCAGACATTTTGGGCAGACGAAACCCCAAACCCTAAACCACAGCCCTGTGCCCCAAACCTTAAACCCCGAACCCCAAACCCCTAAAGCCACCAGCCCCAGGTTAAGTCTTGCCCTGGGCCTGGGCGGCTGCGCTGTGGTGGCCACGACCGCAGAACCCTCGGAACTCCGCAGCCTGGCGCCCTCTCGGCACAAGGGGTCTTTGGGGTTAGGGTTTGGGGTGCAGGTGTCTTTGGGGTTTAGGTTTAAGGTTTACGGGTTTGCGGTTTGGTGTGGGCTTGGGTTTTTTGTTTGGGGGCGGGGGGGGGGGGGGGGGGGGGGTGGGTTAGGGTATGCTTAGGGCCTTAGGGCTTTAGGATATTCAGGATGGAGATTGAGAGGTTCTTTGGGGCTTTAAACGTTTTACGGTGCATTTGGGGATAGGGCCTGCAGGCGTCTAGGGTATCAAGGGGTGTGAAGAGTTGCTAGGGCTGTAGGACTGAAGCATTTGACCTTGAGGTATTTGGGCACAAGAGTCTTGAGAGCTTCAAGGCATTTATGATGCTTATGGTCTTTTGAGGCATTTGGGTTTTCAGGGTCTGTAAGGATTTCGGGCTTGAGGCTAACGGTGAAGGCATTTGAGACTTGTAGGACATGTCCGGCCTCATTAGGGTTGTGGATGTTCAGAGCTTCAAGTTCGGGTCTTTAGGGACAGGGCTTTCAGGGCTTTTGGGTTTTGTCGGAAGCACAGGACTTTGGCTTAGGGACATGGGGCTTTGAAGCTTTCGGGCGCTTGTTTGGGTCCACGGTATCGCTGGTGCCATGGAAGGCCCCGCCGTTCAAGGCTGTTTACTGACCAATCTGAAACGCAAAAGAAGCGTGTCTGTGCCCAAAGCCTCCCTAAACCCTAAACTCTAAACCCTCGTCTGTAAACACGTGAGTCCCACAGGCCACATGTACTAAATGTTGAATATACGCCAAATCCTTCTTGTAGGAACCCCCAAAAAAGGTACCCCGGCACCCCTATTTTCATACATGTAAACCCTAAACCCTAAACCCTAAACCCTGAACCCTGAACCCTGGTCTTTAAACAAATTGTAAGTCCATACGGAATGTAAAGGTGCAGTCGGAGCAGATTGATGTCGTGGGCTTGGTGCCGGATCAGCTCAGGCTGTTGGCCGAGGACTCCTTCACCTGGGGCCTGGGGGTGTAGAGGGTTTAGGGTTTAGGCGTTTGGGACGGAACCCTAAATCCTCAACCCTAACCCTCAACCCTAAACCCTCAACCCTAAACCCTAAGCCCTCTTAAGTCGCCACACCTCAAAAATTAAGCAAGCAGTCTTTTGTCGCCTGGTCCAGAGGATCCGAAGACACAGTCTCTTGGCTCAGAAGTCTGTCCCCTGTGTTAGGGTTTAGGGTTTAGGATTTAGGGTTTAGGGTTTAGGGTTAGGGTCTGGGGTTCTAGCCTTCAGGGTTTAGGCTTCTGCCGCTCTGCGTTTGCTTCCTCCAACAAGCTCTGACCCGGCAAGTTTGCTTCCTGCCTCTACAGAGGTGTCTTTGTTCCTTCTCAAATCGGCCAGTAACTCTGAAGGCCAACGCTGGAACTGGAGATCCCTACCCGTGGTCCAGAATCCCAGGCTACAAGTTCATTGTCTTGGCTCCTAAACTTTAAACCCGGCGACAAAGCCCTAAACTCATGCGTCTTTCATCCGCTTCATTCGTTCACTCCTTCCAGGTCAGTTCTTAGCAATCATTTTGCCACAGTTATGTTCAGGCACTTTAAGTGTAAATGAGCGACTCCAATCAACGAGCGCGCGGATGTAGTTATAGAGCGAACAAGTTCCATTGTGCATTAAAGAAACATTTCTGTTGTGCGCACAAGACAACGTGCTATTCAAGCCACGCAAGCTTCACATCTCTAGCTGGAACGGGCACCAACCCAGCCCTCAACAAAGGCGCTTCCTCACACCGCAATCCACAGCCCTAAGGGGGCATGGAATGCTGGTCATGGCTTTACTTGGGGTCGATCTAAGTTCTTTGCCCCCTGTGGCACCCGCGACCATGGGAGACGAAGATTGACAACAAAAACTGGAAAGGTCGCACAAGCCCCATAGCCAGGAATCATAATCTTACCAAGGCTCCCTTCCTTGCGTCTCGTGATCACTTGGGCCGAGCGGCTGCCCCCTGCGCTGGCTGCTCAGCTCGACAAGGGGCTCGAATGCGACAGAGAGGAGCCTGGATGCTTTTAAGCCACCAATACGATGCCCTAGTTAAATAAAGAAATTCGTGTAAGTATACTTCTACACACAACAATATATGTTGGCTACCTGTGTGTGCAAATACATATACACGTGCTCATTTTGTTATTTAGTTGCTCATGCAGGTACACACATGTATATATTTATATATACATCTACATATATACACATATACATATATATATATATGTGTGTGTTTCTTGTACATTCAGAACTCTAGACTGCCCAACATCTCGCCCCTTGTCTTATGATAAGGGGTGAAGACTGCCCTCACAGACCCTTTCCTCCGGCGTAGTTCACAGCTTGTGGCCTCAGGTTCAGACACTGAGGGTCCATATACTTCATTAGTACGTACTTGGGCCCAGAGTCTCTATGGGAGGTTCTTTAAGGCCCCTTTAGGGATAGGCTTAGGGTTTAGGGCTCAGAGGCAGGAGGTTTGGGGTTCAATGTTGGACCCGCATTAGTCGGCCTCCCCCGACTTGAAAACCGACGCCTTGGCCTGGCTTCATTTCCAAGACCCTGAAAGCTCTGAATCCTAACAGGCACGAAATCAAGAAATCCCTTCAAAAAATCCGGCAACGGTGGTGGTTTGGGAGCCAGCCTGACCTCCTACACTGAGGACCCGCTTTAATTCCCGAGCCCCGGGGCCTCCAAATTTCAATGCCTCGGCCTCTTAACTTAAAGGCCGAAGCTTTCGAATCATATGGGTCTGGAATGCCGCCTTAGATTTCTAAGCCCTGGCCTCTTGGGTTGAAGGCGAAGCTCATGAAATCCTAAGGCCACAGGGCGCAACCTGAAGACCGATCAATGTCATAGCGAACCCCCAAGCCCTTCCGAATTGCTGTCGAAAAGCCAAAACACTACAGCCACTTGCAAAGGCTGACCGCTGGCGCGGGCATCCGGCGAAGCTGATCGAACTTCTGATTGCCACGGAGCCTGCTGACTGCAATCTGAAGCCTTCTAAGCCCCCAAGAGTCCAGTTGCGCCTTGATTCTCGGGTTTAGGGCCCATGTGGGTATCAGAATTCGGTCTGTGCCCAACATCGAAGCCCTGAATTCCAAAGGCTCAAAAAGACCGACAGCTTCAATCAGAAGCATGTCCAGCTACGTCAGAGAAGAAGACGCCAGAGAAGAAGCCCAGGTATTGGCTGTCCTTCTATGGGCTTCCACTACAGCATCCCAAGGGTGAAGAGAGTGCCTCGAAAGCAGCAGACTTCAAAGCCAAGTCCTGCAACCATTCACTGGGTTTCCATGCGTAAGGCCCTCAATGACCAGTTCAGAATTTCCAAGAGCAACTGCACCCCAAAGTTGTTTGGTTTAGAATTTAAGGATACTTAAGGTGCTAGGAGGCAGAGGGTACAGCCTTCTGCCAGGAACAGGAACGCCGCTCCTGCCAGCGGCTTCAGCCGTGAAGTTTGCGATTCTCGACGACTCGCTACAAGACTCCAATTCAGCCTCTTCAGGGTTTAGGGCTTTGAGCCTTGAGGGGTTAACCCTAACCCTAAACCCTAAACCCTTGTAGGGATCTACATGTCTTCGAGCTAAGGGCCTGGTTGAGTCCTGTTGAGGGCTCGAAGCATTCCGCAAAGCCTCAAGTCGCCAGTCTTGTCGTGTTGGACCTTCTCGCTAGTCAGACCAAGCATTCGATCCAAGCAGGCCTGAAGCTGCGCTTAGGGTTTAGGGTTTGGGGGTTTGGGGTTTAGGGTTTGGGGTTTAGGCTTTGCTGGAAGCCCTTGTTTGTGCGACCTCTACAAGCAGAGCTTTACCAGTATCCATCTGCCAACAGCCTCATGGCTCATGCGGCAGTTGACACGCCGCTGGCTTTCGATCGCGCACGTTCTGTGATGCCCCGGTCCTCATATGCGTGATGCATGCATACATTATGACATTTGTTGAGATGTGGAACGCCCTGAGTCCTGAGCTCCAGGGAGGTGTCGGATGAGCTCCCAAAGGGCCTTGCCAAGTGGAAAGCACTGTAGGTGTCCAAGATCTTGGGTCTCATCTCGCCCCAAAAACGACCCAACACCTTAATTCTAAACCCTAAACCCGAAACCCGAGACCCAAAAAACCTAAAACCCTAAACCCTAACCTCTAAACTGTCTAAGCCCTTCAAAGAGCAAGCTCTTCCACAGATGACCCTTCAGGCTTACACCGGTCCAAGTTGGCCAAGCCGCTTAGCTCCCAGACTTGCTGTCGTTGATAAAGATTCTTCAGGGTCTGGTGCCTCTGGACTGAGAGTTGCAAAGAGCATGTGGAGAGCAGGGTTTAGACTTAGGGTTCCTATGATGAGATATAGGACTTGCAAGTTACGGGTGAGCCCATCTCGGGTTTAGGGTTTGGGGCACGGGGAAAACATTAGATAAGAAACGGGCGTTCATCGGATTGGACCCTGGGCATTTCTTGTTGGGCATGTCGGGAAACAAGAAATATGAGATTGGCTCAGGGCTTGGTGATTTTTAAAACCTGGGTAGCCCTCCAGCCCCCCAGCCCTCAGGCCCTCCGGCCCTCCGGCTCCCGCCCCCCAGCCGTTTGGTACGATTTCTTATCAAATGCGTTCACCGTACACGGGCTCAACCTTCAGGATGACAGTCCTTGGCACGAAGGCAGTGGCCCTTCCAACGCTCAAGATGTCTCAGGCCCAGGGCACTCCTCAGACAGAGATCACAAAACGCGAGAAACGTACGAACTCGTCTGTGCCAATTTTCTTGCACCACCAGGTTGGGGAGCTCTACCTTCATGGACCCATGGTTTGTGCAGGCCCAAACTCTTTCTGGGGAGCCGCGGCCCTTTAAAACGCTGTGAGGGTCTACAAGTGAGTATCCGTCAGGATGGGTAGTGACACAGAGTGCGGTTCTGTAGGCGTAGCTGGGGATCCCGCGTTCTTCTCGGCTTTGCTGTCCGCCTCCTTAAGGGGATCAGTAGGACCTGGGTTCCAGATGTGCCGAAGTTCTTGTGATCGACATCTGCGCTACGCCCCTGAAGATGAATCCCAAAAGTCCTCAACTCGAAGCCCTAAAACCAAAAGGGTTTGTGGTCGGTCGTTGACCAGTCCTTCAACTAAACCAGCAACCAGAAACCCTAAACCCTAAACCCGCAGAAACTCTTCCCCTGAGCTTCGGCAAGTTGTGGGTTCGGTCGCATCTTTGGGGGTGGTTTGAGCCTTACAGCATCTTCAGTCATTCCTTTTGGGGTTGCTTAGTTCCGAGGTTTCTCTGCTCTTCAGTTCTTTTGCTGGAGAGTCGAAGCTCATGTGGCCTCAGGGCTTCCCCTCTGAGGCTCAGGGTCTTGCCATCCCCTCTATCCCTGACCAGAACACCTCTATATTATGCCGACAGGCCCCAACGCGTTGCACGAATGCTTGCATTGCTAGGCGCCTTGTCCTGAAAGGCAGATTGCAAGTGCACATATCTCTGTCCTCCCCACCCTCGCCCCAAGAGAATAGATACTTTGATGTGCAGCTGCAGCTGCTGCCAGTAAAACCAGCAGGCTACGTCGATGCCGGCGATACGGAAGCACAGTTCCTGACACTGAGAGGGCGGCGTACCTTGCCTTCGCAAGACCTGGAAGGCTGCTTCAGATTTAGGGTTGAGGGGCTTTAGGAAGTTTAGGGTTTCGGGTTAGGCTGTTCATTAATCAAAGACAGAGTCTACGTCGATAGTGCTTCAGCAAAGCCCATTTTTTTAGACTTCGCTTGCAGACACCACCCGCTTGATCTGATGATGTTCTGGGATGGGGGTTCAGGATTGAGTCCGGTAACGCAGATTTGGAGGTCAAACCCGAAACCCTAAACCCTGATCCCGTGCAGGCATTGCATGTAGGTGGTAGTTGGATGAGGCCACCGCTCGGTCTGCGGGGGTCCCTGAAGAGAATGAACGTCCACCCTAGACCCTAACCCGAAAACTTCAAAGCATCAATGCCTCCACCCTAAACCCTAACACCTAAACCCTAAGCCTTCACCAGCTTTGCATGGGAGAAAGCAAGGATACTTCAAGACAATGGACTTGGTCCGCCTGCTGCCATCAGGCGAGGAGTGCTTGAATTGTCGGTCATAGTCCGGAACACTGAGCCCCTGAGCTTCGGGTTTAGGGGTTTTCGGCTGAGGGTTCAGGGTTTAGGGTTTATGCCAACAGAACCCCAAAAGCCCTAACTCCCCTAAACAGCTAAACCCCTAAACCTCTAAATTCCTGATTAACCCCTAAACCCTTTTTGAAGTCCGGACTCTGGCTGAGGAGGCTTTGTCTATCATTCCCGAGCAGACCGGCATGCGAAGCTCCGAGGCCTTCGTCCAAAAGAGTTTCCTGGTTGAGGAATTCCGGGTGGAGGCTGGAAGGATTTGGGGCTGAGGGGGTTTAGGGGGCTTTGGGGGTTTTAAAGTGGCTTTAGGTGTTTAGGGGTTTTTAAAGATCAGTTGGACAGCTCAGGTTGTCGCCAGTCGAAACAACACCCGAACTTTGATGTAGAGCTTGACGGTGTCAGCCTCGAGCCACGCCTTCATGCCAGCGCGCCAAAGACGTGGAACGTGGGCGGGGGGGCGGGGGCCGGGGTCGGAGGGTTTAGAGTTTACAGGGTGGAGACCCGAAACAAGGCTGACAAACTACAAAACTACTGTAGCGCTCCCAGATCTGGAAGATCTCCTCCAACAGGCACCGGATCCTAAACCATCCTATGCCCCAAGCCCTCTCCCTTCATCCCTCAATGTAGTTCTTGTTTATTTTTTCACGTACCAATATTCCTACATACACCTACATATATATATATATATATATATTTATTTCTTTATTTAAATTTATTATTTACATACATAGAGAGATTTACAACAGCAACTAAGAAAGCACCAGGCCAGTGGGTGGATCTTGCTGCCTTAGAGCAGAGCCTGCAAGACACGGAGCCTTGCCTTGACGTAATGGGGGGGGAGGGGGAGGAGATTCTTTGGGGGGGGGGGGGGGGTAGGGTTTAGGGTTTAGGGTTTAGGGTTTAGGCTTTAGGGTTTAGGGTTTAGGGTTTAGGGTTTAGGGTTTAGGGCTGTTCAGGGCTTAGGGTTTTGCCTTAGAGCGTTTCAGGAGGGGAGGGAGGGTGGAGCTAGGGTTGAGAGGTATTTGGGGTTCAGAGGGTTTAGGGCATTTAGGGTTTGGGGGGTTCAGGGTTTTTGGCATGTAGGGCTGAGGGTTTAGGGCATTCAGGGTTCATAGGGTTAAGGGTTCCTTGGAATCGGAACTTTCAAAGCTAGGCCTGTTACAAGGAAGTTGTTTTAATTCTTGAATCTCGAACCATTCGCACCTGTCGCTGTACATGGGTACGCATGCAATCCTAACACTTTGTCCACCCCCCGCCCCTCCCAAATCTCACCAAGAAATTAAGCCTTATATCGAAACAGCCACAGGCTCCGACTGTATAAGCCCCTGCAGCCCACGCACCGCACATTCCCGTGCTGCTCTGAGGAGGGTGTTGAGGAATCGTTTGTTTTGGAGGACACAGCCTAACCCCTGAGAGTCGTCTCTTGGGGCTGTGAGGTGGGCTCACAAGATTCAACGGTTTCGTTTATCAGCTGCCACTGGACTTAGGGTTGGGTTTGGAGAGTGTAGGGTATCGGTGCTGGGACAAGCGTGCGCTGCCAGTGGTAACGAAGTTGATCCATTGGGTTGCTTTAGACGCCACAGGACCCATCTGGTGACCTTGTCGCGTTCCTAGCCCTCAGTGACGCGTGTGCCTCGGCCGGCCACGATGAAACCTCAAACCCTGAACCCCAAACTTGTAAGTCTTACTACCCGTGTTGAGGCCGAACAGACTGACGGAGAGCTGCAGATTCACGACAATAGATGCCCTAAACCGCCTAAGCCCTAGAGACCCCCAAAACGCCGCCTGTGGTCAAAGCTGTGTCACGAGTCTTCCGATGCGTTTTCAGACGTGATTTTTTCAGTCGGAATTGCAAGGGGCCGAATTTCGGGGGAATTGTCGTGCCAGCGCGTAATCCTCGAAGTCTTCAGCCTCTGCGCAAACGAGAGTTGGGATGTCCAAAGCCTTAAATGCCATGTAAAGCCGGGCCGCTGCAAACAAAGGTATCAAGGGCCACTGCACTAAGCACCCTATACTACAACACCCCACAAGCTCTGTAAATCCTATAAACCCTCTCAACCCTATAAACTCTATGAACCCTAAACCCTAACCCTAAACCCGATAAACACCATAAACCCCATAAACCCCATAAACCCTATAAACCCTATAAAACCTATAAAACCTTATAGACCCTAAACCCCCAGGCCGACGCGCTTCGGGACTGACAGTTGCCGCCAAAGCAATCGGCCGCGGGGGCTGACTGGGGGGGCCAAAAGGATCCAGGGCAGAGGATTTTGGAGGTTTAGGGTTTAGGGTTTAGGATTTAGGGTTTAGGTTTTAGGTTCAGGAAGGAGTGCTTCGGAGGTTTAGGAGGGTTAAGAGGTTTGGGCTGAGGAGGTTTAGGAAATTTGAGAGGTTTAGGAGGGGTTAAGGAGGTTAAGGGTTTGATCAGGTGGGGTAGGAAATCATGGGAGTGTAGGGCTTCGGGCTTTCGGATGTTTAATCCCATAACTGGAGGGCAACATCTTCAAAGATCGTGCAGTGTCCTTCAGAAGGATGCCTTGACTTGTGGTTGGCTCACTGTCCACATCATCTGGTTAAGGGTTTAGGGTTTAGGATTAGGGTTCAGGGTTCAGGGTTTAAGGTTTAGGGTTTGGTTTAGGGTTTGGGGTTTAGAGGTTAGGGGTTTAGGGCTCAGAAGGTCTCAGCTTCTTGTAGACACAGTTCATCTGAAGGCTTCGCGCGCACCACTCGAGACTTAATGTTGAAGGCCCCAAGTCTTGAAGTTCACAAAGACAATGTGTCAACACTGCGGGCGTCTAAGTGCTAGATCCGCTAGTACGCACGATGCCCGAGGCGCCACTGTGGGCCATGGCTTATCTCGAGTGCTCGCAGTTTTGGGGCAAAAATCGCGCTCTCGTGGCCGTGCTCGCGGTCTTCGAGACTGCCGCCGATGCTTTTGGATTTTGGGCGCTCGCGAAATGTTTGGACTTCTGAGCTCACACAGTCTCTCCTAGTTTGGGGTCTATGCTGGCATACCCATCATACCAACAACAATAGATCTGAAAGACAGCGAAAATAGATAACAATAATAATGAACGAAAACTACGGACCAATACTAGAAGTAGTACTAGCTACAAGAAGCAACTCTCGACCCTCCTCAACCCTTACCTCACCTCCCCCTCCTGCAATGGCAAATATTTTCGCTCCCAAAACCCTAAACCCTAAACCCTAAACCCTAAACCCTAACCAAGAAATAGGTCGGGCCCGGGAGCTCCTCCCGTGGCGCGCAGCGCTGCGCCTGCGCTCGGGACTGCCCCGGACGGCCAACGGAAAGTTGGATGGCCAGGCCGCGGCGATGGGTGAAAGGGTTTTGGTCCAGAAACCCTACTAACACTCAGGGTTTAGGGTTTAGGGTCTAGGGTCTAGGGTTTAGGGTTTAGGGTACTTCTCTTTGCGGTGTCACGGTGAGCTCTGACCCCGTGCCATCCTCAAACACATCAACCCCGAAGCTTTGCTCTCGAAACATCAGCACTCAAAAGCCCCAAGAGCCTTGTGAGATTGGGAAAAGTATGGGCGACAGTGTTTATGGACTTGGTGAGGCGCTCCAGGAAGTGATTGCGGCAGAGAAGCGCGCTCAAGAAGTCTCATGGCTCTTCATGGCTGCAGGGTTTGCAAATGTACTTTTTTTGCCTTAGGACTTGATTCTGCCAGGACTTTGTGACAACAAAATAGGGGACCCCGAAATTGGCCCCAAAATAGCAGGAATTTACAAAACCCCCAAACAATCCGATTCTCGCGTCAGGCCCAGGTGTAAGAAAGATGTTTTGGGCGCTCGTGAGTTCACATAAGTAATTAGAGGCTCATGGGTAGTCATAGGTGAGATTATCAGTAGGGTAACTATGCTTATAACCTTGCTTACAACCCTATACTTATACCTACCCATGAACCCCCAAGTAGGGTTTGGTGTCTACAGGTTGTGCTTGATCTTGCGGCATAAAGAGCTCCTCTCTTCAACCGTCACGAATCCCAACGGGCGAGAAAGCAGGGAGTTTTCACTTCTCAGGCACAGATTTCGGAAAAATATCCACTGAGCTTGTAGCTCACCTTGTACAAAGAATGTCAAATACGTGTCATGCCGAGTTCCCAGGCATACAATACAGTATCTCATCAAACATTACAATATATTGTAATATAGTATTGTGGATTGCGTTGCATCATAGGATACTACTATACATGACCTTTTAGCTTCTACTTCTACAAGATATAGCATCCTAGATTGCATAAGATGACATGTATGTAATAGTGTATATATATAGTATAACCTATTACAAAAAAAGCAAACGTTGTAGTACAGTATAATGCAACATGATGCATTCAGCCCGTTCGTGCTTCCAGCGTCCTAGAGGCGAAAGCGACGGCACATCATCTCCGGAGCCGCCTAAAGGTCTGGGCATAAGAGGGTTTACGCGGGGTGTCCATGGGGTCATGCAGGGTCTGTATGTAGGCTTGGCATCGGATCCGCATAGGATCTACATAGGCTGTTACATAGGGGTCATATAGGTCCTTGAGAGGCTGTGTAGGGCTCAGGGTGCTTTAGGGTTCTTTTCGTCTTGCGGCTCATCACCGGCGCTCAGGGTTTCTGCAACCTCTCCTTGTAACGGGGGGGGGGGGGGGGGCTGACTGCCTGGTACCGTACCATTCATGTCCTTCCTAGTAAGCTCCGAAGATCCCTACGAGGAGTATATTGTAGTTGACAGCTTAGTGTACGGCATCAGTTCCCTGATTATCTTATGGTCAGTTTTTGATATTAGTGTTTTCTTTCAATAGAATAAGTCATTGTAAAGGTTTTCTTCTATCACGATTTTAACATGTATATGCTGTGTTCTTCTATTCTTCTGTGAATTACTGTATTTTTTGGAACCAATGAATCAGTTCAATGCCAAGTTTTTTTGCATCTTTTTCCCTTCATGAACCTTGCATGCCCTCAGAGGAGACCTGTCGCAGACACCTGGGTTGCGCTCTGACACTGCTACTGGCCACCTGCGCCGGAGACGCATTGGATGCCCGGCGTTCACTTTGGAGCCTTTTAGATGGTCCCATAATTGTCCAGGCCTTCCGTCTTGCGGCGTCTTCGCATGGGATGTGATGTGTCCATGTGAGTTCGTGCAGTAGATACCCCAAGATCCGGCTATAGCCCTAGCATTTAAGTCAGCACAGGATCAAACGTCATCAAACGACCCAGTAGTTCAGCCCACTGCCCAATTTCCAAGCCAAGCCCGAAAGACAGGTCGAAACCCTACTCCGGCCACTACTACCCAGCGTCAGCCGCCGCTGGTACAGTGTGAAGCCCGCCCGGCACCTTGGGCCAAATCCTGAGTCCCTCAAGCCCCTCAAGCCTCAACCCTTAGCCCCAATCTATATTAAACTTGCGAATCCAAATCTTATTCCGTGAAACCCTGAAAACTGAGACCTAAACCCTAAACCCTGAACCCTGAACCCTAAACCCTTAAACCCTTCAGCCCAAAAGCCCAACATCCTTGGCGAGGCCCAGTGCATGGGGCCTGCTGACTGCGGCTTATGTGTGGCTGGCCATGGCGCAACTCTCCCACTGGGGGCTGAAGCCACAGGCCTCGGGTTTGGGGTTTAAAGTTTGGGGTTTAGGGTTTGGGGTTCTTAGGGTTTAGGGTTTAGGGTTGGAGGTGTTTTCGGGTTTGGGGTGTAGGCAAGCTTTCGGCCAACTCTCCAGACGGTTGCGAATCGCATCAGAGGGTAGGGGCTTGAGATATCGAAGTCGACCGCCCTTCTTCTATTCTGTACAGCTTAAGGTTCCGTTCGCACACCTCTGAGAAAGTTCCATAAACACCGAAAGGGACACCAAGAAGGGCATCCGTTTTTCCTAGCTTGCTGGGGAACACAAAGCCTCCAACCGGACCACCCACACCCCAAGAGGCCCCCTTTTTCCTGGCAGGCCTTTCTGGACTCCGTGCCCTGCACTAGGCGGGGAAGGGTGCGGTTGGCCATGGTTACATTCTCCAATACAACACATGTTCATTCGTGCGCCACGCACCACCCACCCCCGTACTGGGACACTGGTGCAGGAACAGCTCGGATCGTAAAGTAGTGTATATACGTATATATATATACAGGGAGAGAGAGAGAGAGCAAAATATCACAAGATATAGCGCATCACATTGAATATGCGAACGCACAAGAGGGGCCCAAAGAGAAACCTTTAACCATGAATCCCAAGCTGCTACATTCCAACTCGCCACCGGCACCTCTATGCCGAAGATATCGACCCCAAGCCCCTGCCATCACCCCGTAATTTAGGGTTTAGAGTTTAGGGCGGAGGAGTTAGGGGTTAGGGTTTAGGATTTTGAGTTTAGGGCTGACTAGTTAGGGTTTAGGGTTTAGGGTTTGGGGTTTAGGGCATAGGATTGTTTAGGGTTTGGGCTTCGAAAGCTTGCTATGACTTACAGCGCGCCGCAAGGATGGGTGCTCTTGTTGTTCTACACCTGCTGCCTGCGCGGCGGACCAGGGGAATGCCGCTTGATCTGAGACAGCTTGAAGTTAGCGAAGGGCGGAGTTTCGCCGCATGTCAGGATGTGGACTTGAAGAGAGACTGGCGATGGAGTTTGCCCGTGAACTAAGTCGGATTCCACAGAGCATGAATTTGCTGCTTGTATAACGACCCCAGAATAAAAGGGGCATCGGCAACCCCTAGCAGGTCGCGAAGAGAACCTGCACTTGGAGGCTCATGGTACTCATTAGCCAACTATAACTGTACTTGCAACCCACTTATGAACTCATTAACCAATTATAACTTCACTTACAATAACCCACTTATGAACCAAGCACCGCTCCACGAGGCTGGCAGCCCTGGGTGCAGGCATCGCTGCGCGACGTCGGCGCCTGTTCGCCTGGCCGCTGGCACGCCGCGGGAGTCGACCTCCCCGAGCCCGAAAATCACGAAACCCGCAATTTGGAGCCTGAACAACCTGCCATCTCCACAAGCCTCGCGCTGCAAACCCTCTAGCTCCGTAGAGCCCAGTACGGCCAGAATCAAATCTGGAGCTAACGCGAAAGATCTCTTTTCCCGGGGTGAGGTGGGGATAGTTCTTCAGAAAGGGGCGGGTTTGTGTGAGTTAAGGGATGGGTTGGTACCAGCACGCGCCACCCACCCCCTGGTCTAGTAGCCTCAGAAAGCCTCCAAAAAAGTGCCGGGGTATGTTGAGATGAGTACAGCCATGCCCGGGCAGGTGTTCTGGTTGGGCTGTGGCGCCGAGCTTCACTTCGAGGCGGGTCGGGATTTGGGGTTGCAGTGCTTTGCTCCATGACTGTGGGTTCGCAGTTTAGGGTTTAGGTGTGAGGGTGATCTGCGAGTCCTTCAGATTTAATTGTTTTTTGGACTCATGTCGGCATGTGCCTTCCTGATGTGTGGGGTTGCTGCAGCATGACAAGCTTCGGTCGGCATAGGCATCTGTACCGTCTGCGCAGAGCATCAGAGGTTCAAGCCTCGAGAGTGATCGGCTTGATGTAGGACATGAGGGCGCGCGTTCGCACAGGGACCATTCAACAAGGTAATGTCGCTCAGAATACAGTGTGCAACATGCAGCCCATCCCCATAAATTTGGGATGTTCCCCCTTAAGGGGGTACTAGAATCCCTATTAAGGACTGTTAGTGTAAGGGGAACATCCCGACCCCACCATATGCAGACCCCAAAGGCTGAGCGCTGCTTGCGTCAGGGCTTTGCAGCGGCTTGCGCAAGGACGGGATCCTGTGGGAGCATGAAGCAGGTTGGCCCCTAGAGCGCTTATAGGGTTTAGGGGGAGTAGGGGGTTCGGGGTTTAGGGGGATGCTTAGGGTTTAAGGGTATTGGGGGTCTAGGGGGATTCGGTTTAGGGGTGTTGGGGTTTTGGGGGATTCGGTTACTATAGGGTTTGGGTGGATATAGGGCTTGGGGGATTGAAGAGTCTAGGGATTCCCTTATTCGAGCTGTCCGTGCCGGCCGCAGGATTGCCTCGGGTGTTATGGACGGGCTCGACGAGGCAAGTTAAGGTTAAGGTTTAGGGTTTATGGGGTTTAGGGTTTATAGGCTTCAGGGTTTATAGGGTTTGTAGGGTTTAGAGGGTTTAGGGTTTAGGGCTTTTAGAGTTGCATCGGGATATCTCGTTTTTGGCTGCAGGGACAAAATATCCATCCAGAAATTTGCAATCAGCCGTACCAAGGCGGGTTCGGGCGGTTCGGGCTTTGCGTGTTGATTTGGGTTGCTCGAGGGAGCAATATCATGGGACTTCTCGGTATGGGGGTATTTGGGTGGACATGTCCGACTTTTGGTCAGGGGTCGCCACGCAAAGGCTGTCAAGCAGCTCTTCTTGCGCGCATCGTCGGTGCTCGTCCCGAAAGGCGTGTGTTGGATTCAAAGTTGTAGCGCATGTATAGAAAGGGGCAGGCTTTGTTGTTGTGCTTCTCTATGTCGGGGTCCAAGGGTCCTATAGCTTTTGCCTGAAGACATTTCAGCTGGTCGGGTCTGGCTTTTGCGCCCGCAACGCGCCCACTGCTGTACTGTACCCAGTGACAGAGTGCGTGGGTGAACAAGACCCCGGCCCACCTTTGTACATCTTTGTAGCCTGATTTTTGTTGCCGGTCTGCGTGTTGAAGGTTTCAGGCATGGTGTTGGTACATGGAAATGTGTGCAGAGCTGCAGGTGAAGCTTGAGATTAGTTCGGGGGGGGTTCCAAGCAGCGTCGGGTCTGACAGCACGTATGCCCGAAAAAGAGATTGGCCGTTCATCCCCATCCGGGCGACTGTGC